TATTCTTCTTATTATTATTATTATCATTAGTTGCCAGTATCATATGACTATCATATTATTATCATTTAATAGTTTATTATTATTATTATTATCATAATAATATTATTATTATTATCACAATTATTACTATTATTATTATTCGCATTGTTATGATTTTCTCACTATCATATCTGCTAATAGTGTATTATTATTATTGCGTTTGTTTATTTATTTGATTGTTTACTATTAAACATTATTATTATTACTATTATTATGTTTGTTTATTTATTTGATTTTGTTTTACTATTAAACATTATTATTACTAAATGTTTTTGCATTTCCATAACAAATATTTTCTGAAATCATGAATATCAATGTACTGTTAGCCTTTATTTTTTAAAAAATTATTATTGCTATTATTATTACTATCATATGATTATCATATTATTATCATATTATCACTATTTAATAGCATGTTATTATCACTACTATTATTATTCATATTATTATCACTATTTAATAGAATGTTATTATCACTATTATTATTATTCATATTATTATCATATTATCATTATTTAATAGAATGTTATTATCACTACTATTATTATTCATATTATTATCATTATTTAATAGAATGTTATTATCACTACTATTATTATTCATATTATTATCATATTATCACTATTTAATAGAATGTTATTATCACTACTATTATTATTCATATTATTATCATTATTTAATAGAATGTTATTATCACTACTATTATTATTCATATTATTATCACATTATTTAATAGCATGTTATTATCATACTATTATTATTCATATTATTTTCATATTATCACTATTTAATAGCATGTTATTATCACTACTATTGTTATTCATATTATTATCATATTATCACTATTTAATAGCATGTTATTATCACTGCTATTATTATTCATATTATTATCATATTATCATTATTTAATAGAATGTTATTATTACTACTAATATTCATATTTTTATCGTATTATCACTATTTAGTAGCATGTTATTATCACTACTATTATTATCATATTATCATTGTTCAATATTTATTATCATATTATCATTATTTAATAACATAACTATTATTATTGTATTAGCAATATTTTTGCTCTACATTTAAGTCATTAAATCATATTGAAATGATTTTATATCAATTAAAATTGCTTAATAAGTTTGTTTATCTTAATAATCTTTTATCATACACTTATAAAAATGAATGTAATCTGCTTTATTAATTATTTTTTTTTCTTTAACATTCAATAACAAAACGAAAATTTTTTTCCCATTTAAAAAAAAAAACTTTTTCATCTATACGAAAAATTTATTTTCAAAATGTTTTTTTTTTTCCTTTTTGCATTTCCATAACAAAATATTTATCTAAAAAATGATGAATATCAATGTACTGTTAATGTGTTTATTTTTTTCAAAAAAAAAAAAATTCTTACTGTAATTTTAAAATAGCATTTCATTCTTTAATATATTCAATTCATTCTTTTATTTTTTTTTTTATTTTTAAAAGCTTATTTATTTATTTATTTATTTTCTTAAAATTAGAATTGCTAAGAAAGCAAAAAAAAAAAAAGAAACGAAAAGATGGGAAGAAGGGGAAGCATAGGAACAGGTTTAATATAAAAGTACAAAATCAGCAATAAACTTGAAATTTAATGAAAATATTTAAACGAAGAAAATTTAAGCATTTTTCTTTTCAAATGTTCTAAGTGTATATTTTCAAAGCTTTTTTCTTTTTTTTTTCAATTAAAAGCAAAATTTTAAATTTAAAAAAAAAAAAAACTTAATTACATTTAAAATTTCTTTCACAGTTATCACTGTAATTCTTATCATTTTAGTATTATTTGATTATTATTTTTAATGATAAGCTAATTGCGGTGCCTTTTTTTTTTTTTTTTAAATCAACAAAAAATGAATATTACTAGTTTTATAAATTATAGCAATTATCAATGAATGAGAATTTCAATGAATTATTCAATTAGTGAGCAAATTTTTTTTCTTAAACATTTGAGATTTTCTTTATCATATCATTATTATCAGTAATTTAGCTATAAAGATGATTAAATTGATTATCAAAATAGTAATAATATCACCAAAAGTAAGTCAGATTATTTGATTTTCAATAATAATAATTGATTCAATTCTCAATTTAGTAATAAAATAAAATATTTTATTCGACATTTTCTTTATCATATCATTATTATCAATAAATTATCTATAAAGATAATTAAAATTATTATCAAAATAGTAATAATCAACCAAAAGTAAGTCAGATTATTTGATTTTCAATAATAATAATTGATTCAATTCTCAATTTAGTAATAAAATAAAATATTTTATTCGACATTTTCTTTATCATATCATTGTTATCAATAAATTATCTATAAAGATAATTAAAATTATTATCAAAATAGTAATAATATCACCAAAAGTAAGTCAGATTATTTGATTTTCAATAATAATAATTGATTCAATTCTCAATTTAGTAATAAAATAAAATATTTTATTCGACATTTTCTTTATCATATCATTATTATCAATAAATTATCTATAAAGATAATTAAAATTATTATCAAAATAGTAATAATACAACCAAAAGTAAGTCAGATTATTTGAATTTTAATAATAATAATTGCTTTCTTTTTTTCTGTTCTTGATTGATTCAATTTATAATTTAGTAATAAAAACAAAATTTTTTATCCTTTAATAATTTTTATTTAAAAAAAAATATAGCATAAAATTATGAATAAATGATAGAAATTTCTTTTTTCCTTCTTTTTTTTTTTTAAAAAAATGAATTAAAATAAAAGTTATTGCATTTTCAATATGATTTTAATTTGATTTATTTAATTTGAATTGTTGCAATAAGAAATTTTCAATTTCGATAATATTATCAAATCTTATAAATGAATCATTTCAAAAAAAAAAAAGCAATTTTATAATTTCAATTGTTAAATTAATGTACCAGCAATTTTTAACCACCAAATATGACATTAAATTATCAATAAATTTCAATTTTTTTTTTAAATATATAAAATTTATCATTCATTGTTCTATTTAAAATTATATCGCAGTTGAAATTTTTGTTAAATTCATTCGAGAAAAAAAAAACAAAAACAAAAAGAAAAACAAAAAATGTAAGTCAATTGCGCCCGATTGATTGTAATCGAAACATCGATTCAATTATTTCATTCATTAAAACTTAAAAAAAAAATTTATCAAAAAAGAAAAATTATGATAGAAATACTAATTTTAGAATGGCAAAATTGTTTTTGTTTTAAATTTTATTTAAATATACAATTTCCATTTGTAAAATTTTAAATGATTAATATGATTTAATAAATTTTAAAAAAAAAAATTAAAAACAAAACTTTTTTTTTTTCTTTTTTTTGATAAACATTTGTTTACAATGATAATAAAACAAAAAAAAAATGTCATTTACTATTATCACTAATCTTTTATCATTTAAATAAATTATTGTTTATTTATTTATTTATGAATTGTTATCATCTTTAAAATAAATAATATTTCTTATACGAAGAAAAAAGAAAGAATGAAATTAATACAAATAAAAATTAAAAATTATTTTTTCAATTTTAATTTTATACATTATTCATCATATTTCACTCTTCGTTAGTCATTTGTAAATGAATGCTTTTTTTTTAATTTTAATTTAATTTAATTTTTTTAATTTAATTTAATTTTTAATTTTTTAATTTAATTTTTTAAAAAGGGGTGTTAACATTAGAATATTATTTTATAAAAATTTCAAATAACTGGAATATTGATGACGAATCAATTCAAATTTCTCAATTGCTCATTATTTTGAATTATTTTCATCACTCATACACAAATGTTACAAAAATAAATAATTGTTGTTATAGCTATTATTGTTTATTGTTATTGCTATTATTGTTTATCATTATTGTTTATCTTTGTTTGTTTTTTTAAAGACAAAACAAAAGAGATTTTATTGTATTATCTATTGTTGTTTTTTAAAGACAAAACAAAAGAGAATGTAAAAAAAACATTTTATTTTCTTGGATTTATATATCTATGTCACATCATTTTTCATCTCTTTTTCAAACAACAAAAAAAAAACTATTAAAACGAATAAAAAAAAAAAAAAAATTTTTTTTTTTTCCATTTCATTAATCTTTTATAATTTATTTTCTTTTTCTTCAAATTTTCATTTCTTTTCTTTTCTTTTCTTTTTTTTTTTGCTTTTATTTTTATTAAAATTTAAATTTTTGCATCGAATAAATTCATCAATTTCATAGCTTTTATCATTTAAGTAATAATTTATAGTGGAAAATTTTACAGCAAATTATTTCTTTTTTTTTTCTCGATTTATTATGAATTTAAAATTTTTGATAAACTTTTAAGTTTTTTGATTTTTTAAATTTATTGAATTAAATTTTTGTAAATAATAACTACTACAAACTTTTCAAAATAACACTTAAAATATTTGAAACAATTATCATTTAATCTTTTCAATTTACAATTTTTTTCCTTCCAAAAACTTAATTTTTTTGATTTTTAAAATTTATTCAATTAAATTTTTGAAAATAATCATTACATCATAACTATTACAAACTTTTCGAAATAATCCTTTAAAATAATTAAATAATTATCATTCAATCTTTTCAATTTACAATTTTTTTCCTTCCAAAATTTTTCAAAAATTTTTTTCATTACATCCTATTTTTTTTTTTAAAATAATTTAATTAAAATCTTTTCAATTTTTTTTTTTAAAATACAAAACAAATTATGTATAATTTTTTTTTTTAAAATACATTTATCTTTAAAATTACTAATTTGTTTTCTTTCAAATTTACATTTAACAACAATGTAAACAAAAAAAAAAAAAAAAGGCAATAATATTTTTTAATAAATTTAATCAAATATTTTAAAATATTTAATGATAATTTTTTAGATGTATATGAAGTGCTAAAAAAAAAACAAATTAATTATAAATTCTCGATGGTAGTGCCATTTGTATTACTTTTATCAACCACTGAAATGAATGATAGTGCCGTAAAGTTGAAAAAGAAAAGGCTTATCAAGCATGTTGTCACCTTATCAGTTATCACTAGCATACTATTTGCATTAATCATTGTTGCTGGCATTATATTGATATTCAAATTACCACCAAACAATCAAAAATTTACTCTTAGCACAATTGACTTATCACAAGATCAAGGTTAGTTTTTTGATTAATTTATTCAATTACTTTATTAATTTATTCGATTACCTTATTAATTTATTCGATTACCTTATTAATTTATTCAATTACTTGATTAATTTATAGGATTACCTGATTAATTTATGGGATTACCTGTAATTCCTTTGAATATACTTAATAAATTGTAAATTGAAATTGAAATAAACTTAAAAGAGTAACTGTTTTTTTTTTGTTGTTATAAAATTATAAAATTTAAGGTTAGCTTAATTAATTTATACAATTATCTGATTGATTTATAGGATTACCTGTAATTCCTTTGAATATACTTAATAAATTGTAAATTGAAATTGAAATAAACTTAAAAGAGTAACTGTTTTTTTTTTTTGTTGTTATAAAATTATAAAATTTAAGGTTAGCTTAATTAATTTATACAATTATCTGATTAATTTATATGGCTACCTGTAATTCCTTAGATTATACTTAATAAATTGTAAATTGAAATAAACTTAAAAGAGTAATTGTTAAAATAATTTCTTTCTTTTGTTGTTATAAAATTATAAAATTAAAGTTAGCTTTGATTAATTTATACGATTACCTGTAATTTCTCAGGGTATACTTAATAAACTGTAAATTGAAATAAACTTAAAAGTAATTGTAAAATAATTAAATTATTATTAGTTTGATTAATTTATACGTTTGTAATAATTAAAAATTATTTTTTATTATAAAATTTATTAATTAGTTTTTTTTTTTTAAGCAAAATTTATTTACAAAATTTAGTAATTAGTGAAGAATTACTTAGAATTCATTAATTAGTGAAGGATTTTTTAAAATTTACCAATTATTGAAAAATTTTTTAAATTTTTTCACAAAAAATTATCGTTTTTTCTCTTTTTTATCTCTCTTATTTATCATTTAAAAGTTTTATCAAATATTTAATAATTTAATAATTAAAAATGCAAATTAGAATTGTTTTGTTTTTTTTTTTCAGAAAATTGGAAACATCAAGTGAATGCTGTTTTTGCAATAAATTTAATTGGACCAAAAGAAATGCGACCTAAACGATCGGTGGAAAATATTAAAGTAATCAAATTTATATTAAAAATATTATTTAAAATAAATTTTAAATTTATTTTAAAAAAAATTTTAAAATACAATTGTAATGACATATACTATATATTGATTTCTTTTTTATAGTATAAAATTTAATCATACATTCATAATTTTAATCATTATCATTGAATGTATTCTTATCATAATTATTTATCAGATATTCTTAATCATAATTATATGATTGATTTATAAATAAATTATTTACATTATTTAATTTTAAATTAATTCAACTTCATATATAAATCATTAAATTAGATTTATTTATCACTAAAGACTTACTTATCGTAGATTTATATATGAATTTCTTATCACAAAATAAAATTTATCACTAAATTTTCGTTATCATTGCTTTGTATACTAATTCATTATAAAAATTGTTAGTAATAAATAAATAACCTAAAAATTAACCTAAAAATAAAAAAAAAAATTTAACCTAAAAATTTATCACTTTTTATTTCATTTCATTTATCATACATTCATTTTTAATCATTATCTGTATAAATTTTATCATTATCATTCATAATTTATAATCATTATCATTTAATATATTCTTATCATAATTATTTATCAGATAATCTTATCATAACACAATTACATTACATTAAATTTAATTTAATTTAATATATTAATCATTAAATTAGGTTTATTTATCATCTGATTACTTACTTATCATGACTTACTTATCATGAATGTATATGCATTAATTTCTTATCACAAAATGAAATTTATCACTAAATTTTCGTTATCACTGCTTTGCATAGCAATTTATCAAAAAAATTGCCATTCAAACCTAAAAATTTATCACTTTTTATTTCATTTTCTTGTCGCTTAATTTTTCGATCATTAATTTCATTTTTTTTTTTTTTTTTTTAAAAAATAACAAATGAAAAGATTTTGTTACAGAAATATAATTTATAATAATAAAAATAATAATAATAAAAAAATTTCACTCAACATTAACCTTGGAATTAAATTTTTCAAAAATGTTATTTGGTTGAGAAAAATTTTCTTTTTTTTTTTTGGAATTCTCATTACTAAAATAAAAACTAATATATTTTATTGATTATTTATCAAATATATCTAAATGTAAATAATATTTCAAAAAATTTCCGTTTCATTTCTTGTTTACAAGTTGAAAAAAAAAATAAATAAACAACAATTATTGTAATTATTAAATTGTTAGTATTGTACCAATAAACCGGAATATCATCAAAAAAAAAAAAAACTAAATTAAATTTTTTAGCAAAACCACAAAAAAAAAAGTAAATAAATTATGTCAGTAAAAGAAAAAAGAAAAATTTTAGAAAAATAATTTATTTCTTATAAAATATTTGTTAAATTGAGAATATTTGAGACTTTTCAAAAAATTTTTTTTTATAAATTATTACTAATTAAATTTACCGTTGTAAAAATTAACAATTTTTTTTTTATTAATTTAGTAAAAGTAATTTTCTTCTCGCGCAGAAACTAGTAAATAATAATTTTTTAAATTTTTAAATTAAAATTTTTCAGTTTTTTTCAAAAAAAAATTTTATCATTTGGTATTTCAATTTTTTTTTTCGTGTGAGCTACAAATAAAAAAAAAAAATAATTAAAATTATTTCCTAAAAGATCAAATCAATAATTGAAGATTATTAAGTAAATTAGATTTAGCAATGATTAATGATTGTATTTTTAATTAATTTTTTCTTAAAAAATCTAAAATATCACTGAAATGAAGTTTAATTAACTTAAATACGTGAAATTATTTAATTTTAATACGTGAAATTACTGTAAAATTACTTTTAATACGTGAAATTATCGTATGAGAGTAAGTAAATTAGATTTAGCAATGATTAATGATTGTATTTTTTAATTAATTTTTTTCTCTTCCAAAAAAACCTAAAATCTCACTGAAATGAAGTTTAATTAACTTAAATACGTGAAATTATTTAATTTTAATACGTGAAATTACTGTGAAATTACTTTTAATACGTGAAATTATCGTATGAGAGTAAGTAAATTAGATTTAGCAATGATTAATGATTGTATTTTTTTAATTAATTTTTTTTTCTCCAAAAAAAACCTAAAATCTCACTGAAATGAAGTTTAATTAACTTAAATACGTGAAATTATTTAATTTTAATACGTGAAATTACTGTAAAATTACTTTTAATACTTATCATATGAGAGTAAGTAAATTAGATTTAGCAATGATTAATGATTGTATTTTTTAATTAATTATTTTTTTTTCTCCCAAAAAAACCTAAAATCTCACTAAAATGCATTTTAATTAATTTTAAAACGTAAAATTAATTAATTTTAACACGTAAAATTACCATATGAGAGTTAAATGCTAAGCGTAGGCGCAAATGACGCTTACGTCATTAAAGTAAGCAATTTTTTTCATTTTCATTTTCTATGTAATTTACACCTATAATTCTATATTTAAATTAGGTTAATTATTTTGTTATTAATTACAAATATATTCTGGTTTATTGTAAATTACATTAACAACTTGAAATAATAATACATTAACTGACGTCAAATAATTTGAAGAAAGCGCAAAAAATAATTTGAACGAAGCGCAAATGACGTTCTATTATTAATTCAACAATTATTTAAATAATTATTTATCTTTTTTTTTTTTTTTCATTTTCTTCCTGTTATTTTTCTCATTTTCCGCTTCAAAAGATACACATTTTATTTGCTAATTTATAATATTTCTTTTTTTTTTAAAAAAAAAATGAAATGAATTTTTTTTTTCTCTTTGTACGAATTTCATAGCACATAAATTGTTAATAGCGTTAGAATTGATAGCAGAATTTATTTAAAAAAAAAAAATAAACTAAATTTCAATTTTATTTAAATTTCACAGAATATAAAATTGATGGCATAGAAATTGAAGTGCAATGTCTGTTTCTTGTTTTTTTTTTTTCAAAAAATAAAACTAAAAAAAAAGTATTCTAAAATATTTTGTTTACATTTTATAGCATAAAATTAACACTTGAATATTTTGAAAGGAAAAATGAATTGTAATTTTTTTTTTTTTAAATTTAAATTTTTGATAGCATACAAATTGAAACTATTATTAGAAATGCAATATTTATTTTTTTCCAAGTATTCTGATATTTTCAATCAAAATTTATTGTTAAGAACAATTTTTAAATCACATAATAAAAGTTTAATTTTATAATACTAAAATTTAAGTTAATTAAACTTTAAATAAATTTTTTTTTTTTAAAAAAAGATATTTCAAACTTAGAAAACAAACAATATTAGTAAAGGAAAAAGAAATGTGTCAATTAATTATGGCTAATATAAAACTAAAAATTTTATTCTTTTTAAAATTTTGTTTAATTTAAAAAAAAAAACGAAAACAAATAGAAAGAAAAACATAAGTACCACATTGGAAGTTAATTTTTCCAAAAATAAAAAAAAATTTTAAATTAATTTGTTTACTTACTTAAATGCTAACTTATACTTTCTTACCTTTAAATTATCATACGTTCTAAAAAATAAACACAACAACAAATTCAATGTGTTTTTTATTTTTGCAAATTTAGAAAGTTAATATTTAAAAAAAAAAATTACTATCACTAAATTCAATAATTGAAAGTACTCAAATTATTCAATTATCAATTATTTAAGTTCAAAAATTTTATTCCTGAATCTTTTATTAATCATAACTGTATGGTTTCCGAATTAGTAAGAAAACAGAAATTCTATAAATGAAAAAAATAAATCAAAAAAAAATTTTTTAATTTATTTTGTTTCATTAAATGCAAAAAATAAGAAAATATTAGTAAATCAGCCAACAATTGCAATGTTTTAAAGAAATATTTCTAATTTTTTTTTTGAATTAAAAAAATAGAAATTAATTTGAATTTAAAATTTATTAAATGAAAAAAAAAACTTTGAAAAAAAGCTTCTTTCCCATTAAAAAAGAAAGGAAAGCACAAAAAAATCAAAAAATATTTTCTAATTTTTTTTTTTTGAGTTATAAAGTAAATAACAAATTTGAATTTGCATTTTAATTTTTTTTTTTAAAATTAATAACTGTAATTTAAATAAAAATATAAAATCTCATAGTTTTTTTTCTTTAAGTATCTTTCTTTTCAAAATGAAAATGATTGAAAAAGTAATGAAATAATCTATCTTCTTCTTCAAAAAGTAAACATTTAAAATTATCAAAGTAGAAAATTTAATTGAGCCATTAAATTTTACAATTTTTAATTTTAACGAATTTCTTTTTTTCTTTTGGCGCAAATGTTTTTTCAATTTTTCTTTTTTTTTTACTATTTTAGTTGCATTTTTGTTTTTTTTTTAACCATATTTCTGATAATTAAATGTAATTTCGCTTCAATTCATTTCAATCAAAATTAAATTAATTTTTTTGGTTTTATTTTTGCCAAAAAAATTGTTTGATAGTTTTACATTTATATTTCGATCATAAACAAAATGATAGACTACAAAATATTATTCGATTGATCAGTTAGATAGATCAGTATTGATTGATTTTTAGATTAATCAATTTGGAATCAATAATTGTTAGAACAATTGATGTCGAGAATTATTCCAATAATTTCTTGCTAGAATATTTATCAATTAATTTAAATAAAAATAAATCAGTGAAATTTTATTAACAAATGCAATTTTATTTGATATTTTAATTCTAATAAAAATTAGCTATTAAAATTAGTGTAATAAGTTAAAATGATACTACTAAATAGTATAAATTTTAATAAATTAAATAAAAATTTAATAGATTAAATTTTTTAGAAATTAAATTTGGTTACAAATATATTATTTGCTATTATACTGTTAAAATTGTGTGATAAGTTGAAATGATAATATTAAATAGTATAAATTTTAATAAATTAAATAAAAATTTAATAGATTAAATTTTTTTAGAAATTAAATTTGGTTACAAATATATTAAAAATATATTATTTGCTATTATACTGTAAAAATTAACTGTTAAAATTGTGTGATAAGTTGAAATGATAGTACTAAATAATATAAATTTTAATAAATTAAATAAAAATTTAATAGATTAAATTTTTTCAGAAATTAAATTTTGGTTAAAAATCTATTAAAAAATTATATTATTTGCTATAAAACTATAAAATATTACACTGTTAATTATCTTCAATAAGTAATTTAATTAATATATACTTTTTTTAAATTTAAATTTTTAAAAAGTAAATGAATTAGTGTAATTTTTACAATTCAGAAGTACACGTTACAAGTGATACGTTCACTTCTATTCACGTATTACGGAAGTGACGCGCAATTTGTAATACAAACTTATTCCATTCCTGGGCAAACAACATTTAGCGAATTCTGTAATGCACCGTGTACAATGCGATATATCGATCAGATCGATCAGATCAATCAAATTGATCGAGAACAAACTTCTATCGGTGAAAATCCCAATCAAACAGAGTTTGCTTTTATTTTTTTTTCTTGTTTAAAATTTAATTTTTTATTAGCATTTCAAATTTAATTCATTTTTTATTTTCATATAAATTTTATGGATTATTTTAATTTTTGTAAAAAAAAAATTATTAAATATTATTGTTTAATTATTATTTTATTTATCATTTCGCCAGGTTTTCCTTTTTTTTTTTTTGGATATTATTTAGCTATTATTTAAATTGATAGATTTTATTTAATTGTTATTTTTAAATCAGTTTTAACTAGGCTTTTCATAAATTTATTGGTACTAATTTAAATTATTCAGTTTAGCTTTTGAACTATTTTATAGCAATTTTCTTTTTTAAATTTAATTTCATTTTTAATGAAAAAAAATTTTTTTGAATTCTTAAATTCAAATAAACGAAAGTTCTTTTCTACACTTTAGATTGAAATATAAAATTTTAGCTAATTGATTTATTGTATTTTTACTAATTAGCTAAAATTAATTGCTTACGAAAAAAAAACCATAAGGAGAGAAAAAGAAAAAATTAATTGCTTAACAAGGAAAAAATTTTTAAAGCACATCAATTTGAAATCTTTGATAACAATAGAATTTATCATTTTACAATCAATCATTTCTCTCTCTCTCTCTCTCTCTCTCTCTCTGTTATTCCTTCTTCTTCTTTTTCATTTTAATTTTTCAGCAAAATTTTTTATTTTTTTTTAAAAATATTTGCTCTAATTACCTAAATTTTCAAAAAATGTTCTTTAATCTCTATGCTCCAAAAAAAAAAAAAATTTTTTTTTGCACCATTTTATTTAATTATATTAAAATCTAAAATATTTTTTTTTTGCAAAAAATAATTTTTAATATTTATTTTTTAATTTTTTAATATTTATTTTTTTTAATATTTAAATTTTTTTTAATATTTATTTTTTATTATATATACAGGAAATAAGCTATGCTAATTTAAATTCCAGAATACCTGTTTTTTTTTTTTTTAAAATTGCCCAAAATTAATTACTTTTTTTTTCTATTGAAATATTTACATAAAAATTGTTTACATTTCATGCTGAACAATAATTTCCGGTTTCTAAAAAAAAAAATAAAAAAAAATTTAACAATTTATTTTTTTATTTTTCTATTTTTTGCATAAAATATATGCAATTTTATTTGAAAAAAAGGTTTTTAAAAAAAAAATGAGAGGGAGAGAGAAAGAGAATTTTGTTTTACCTTATAATTACTTTTTAAAATTACCTGTATTTTTTTTGTTAAATTAAAATTACAGTGCTGTTTGGCAATATTATCGCTATAGTCTTGGAAGAAAACCAAGTCGTTACATTTTATTTGTTGCTGATCGTACTTCATACAGGTGGTTATAATTACTTTCATATTTTAAAATTTTTAAATTAATAAAATAAAAACAAGTTCATTCTTTAAGATTAGATTAATGCATTCTTCAAATGTATCATTGTTATTGTAAAAAATTATTATTATTGTTGTCATTATAATCATTATTAATATCATTACTATTACTATTATTATTGCAAAAGATTATTATTATTGTTATCATTATTATCAATATTAATATTATTATTATTACTATTATTATTGCAAAAGATTATTATTATTGTTATCATTATTATCAATATTAATATTATTATTATTACTATTTATATTCTAAAGATTATTATTGTTATCATTATTATCATTATTAATATTATTATTATTGCTATTTATATTCTAAAGATTATTATTATTGTTATCATTATTATCATTATTAATATTATTAATATTGCTATTATTATTGTAAAAGATTATTATTATTGTTATCATTATTATCATTATTAATATCATTATTATTACTATCATTATTGTAAAAGATTATTATTATTTTTATCATTATTAATATTATTATTATTGTAAAAGATTATTATTGTTGTTATCATTATTAATATTATTATTACTATTATTATTGTAAAAGATTATTATTATTATTATTATAGTTGCTATTACTACTATTGTTATTACTGTGAAAAGTAACAGACAACATTTCATTAGCAAAATTAATAAAACTTTCAATCAGTCATGATTGAATGGTTTTAATTCATTTTTAGAAATAAAATTAATTTTAATTTCAAATTTAAATTTTGAATTTTGCTAAATTTTTACAAATTGTAATAGTTTTTGTATATTAAACAAGGAAATTAGTTTTAGATTATCAAATTTAATTTTAATTAAGTGCAGAATCTGCTAAAAATAGCAATTAATTTAAAGAAAAATAGATATTTAGACTTAGTTGATTAATTCATATGCATTGTACCAGTGATGGTCATATATGGTGTGGTCATTTTATAGTTTAAATATTAAAATATGCTTTTATAATTAAGTTTTGCGCAAAAATTCATCAGCAAAATTAATAAAACTTTCAATTAATAATGGTTTAATTCAATTTAAGAATTAAAATTAAATTTTGTTTCAAATTTAAATTTTGAATTTTTTAAAAATTTTAAAATTTGTAATAGTTTTCTTACATTTAACAAGGAAATTGGTTCTAAACTATCATTTTTTATTTTTATTAAGTGCCAAAACTGCTAAAAATAGCAATATTTTGAAGATAATTCATTATGTTATATGCATTGCAGCAGTGCGGGTCATATATGGTTGGTCATTTTATAGTTTAAATATTAAAATACGCCTTTGTAATTAAGTTTTGCGCAAAAATTCATCAGCGAAATTAATAAAACTTTCAATTAATCATGGTTTTAATTCAATTTAAGAATTAAAATTAAATTTTTGTTTCAAATTTAAATTTTGAATTTTTTAAAAATCTTAAAATTTGTAATAGTTTTTTTGTTTGTAAATAATAATTTTTAAATTTTAAATTTATTTCCAGTGATGATGCAATATTTGAAAAAGATATGGAAGAAACGAGTAAAATATTAGAACAAACAAAGCTAACAAATAAAACAGAAACAATATTTATTAACAATGCTAATATAGCAAATTACTTTATGCATAAAAGTAATATTATTAGCAATGGAAGAAGCGCTACAGAATTAGCAAATTTAATCAACAATAGACTGAGTTAGTTACGGTGATTTCTTTGTTTATATTTTTTTTTTTTTTAAATATAACTTTTATTCGTTCATTTATTTAAAAATTTAAAAAAAAAAAATTTTGAGCAATTAAAAATATTATTAATTTTTAAAACCTATTCATTTATTTATTATTAATTTATTTATTTAACTATTCATTTATTATTTATTATTAAATTCATTTATTTATTATTTATTATTAATTTTTAAAACCTATTCATTTATTTATTATTAATTTATTTATTTAACTATTCATTTATTATTTATTATTAAATTCATTTATTTATTATTTATTATTTATTTTTAAAACCTATTCATTTATTTATTATTAATTTATTTATTTAACTATTCATTTATTATTTATTATTAAATTCATTTATTTATTATTTATTATTAATTTTTAAAACCTATTCATTTATTTATTATTAATTTATTTATTTAACTATTCATTTATTATTTATTATTAAATTCATTTATTTATTATTTATTATTAATTTTCAAGCCTATTCATTTTTTTTATTATTAATTTATTTATTTAAATTCATTTATTAATTTATTATTAAATTCACTTATTTATTATTTATTATTAATTTTTAAAACCTATTCATTTATTTAAAAATTTATAAAAATTAAAAGCAATTGAAAAGTGTATAATTTTCTATTATTATTTGTCTAAAGTTCATTCCTTTTTTTTTTTATTTCAAATTTATGAAATTTAAAAAATTAAAAAAACATAATTTTGCAGTATTATTTTTTAAAGCTCATTTATTCATTTTAAATTTTTAATTTATAAAGCTGAAGCAATTGAAAAAGGTATAATTTATTATTATTAGTATTTTTTAAAATTTCATTCACTTATTTAAAACCTATAAAATTTAAGCAATTAAAAAAAGTATAATTTTCTATTATTATTTTTTTAAAGTTCATTCATTCATTTCAAATTTATAAAAATTTAAACATTTTAAAGAAGCATAATTTTGTAATTTTTTTTGGAAACAAATTATTAAAATTATACAATAAAAAAAAATTTTTTTTTTTTGAAAATTTTATTATTTATTTATACAATTTAAAAATTTTATATAAAGATTTATAATTTATATTTCTTTAAATTAGTAAAAAAAAAAAAAAGAATTTCAGTTTATTTTAAATTTACTTTTGTTTATTTTCTTTTTGTTTTTTAAAATTTTTTTTTTAAAATTTCGTTTGTTTACTTAAAATTACTTTTACTTTTAACTTTTGCAGTTTCTTATTATAATAATGATAATAAACTGAATGCAAATACAACAATTGCAACAACAATAAGCGATTCATCAGAATTTGTTATACCATTTATTACTGAAACAACAACAACTACTATTATTACTGCTGAAAAAGTAATAATTTTTTTTTCTTTTCAAATCTAATTCAAAATTTATGTTAATAATTCTAGAAATTTTAAAATAAAAGAATTTACTTATTTTATTATTTCATTTTGAGTAAAAATTTTATATTTCAAAATTTAATTTCTTTTTTTTTGTTTATTTTTTTATTAGAATAAAAATGAAATTGATGTTCAAACAATACCTGTGCAAGAATTACCTCAATCAAATGTTGCATTCCATAATACAGGTGAGTACTAATTAATTAATTAATTAATTTAGTTAATTAATTAACGTTTTTTACTAATGTCATTTATTTATGGCATATTTTTCATTTATTTAATTCAAATATCGGATGATACTTTAGTTTGATTAAGCGTAAACATGTAATAAATAAATACAATTTTTTAATGTTTATTATATCATATCACGTAAGTACACGTAACTTTCTTGCCTACTTTATGCCTGTTAACTTGAATATTTAATAAAATTACTAGAATTACTCATATTTGTTAAAATTTTAGAAATAAAAGAACAAGCAACTACAGTTTCATTCATTTCATCTACAACAAAATTCAGCAAAACGTACGTTACTTTTTTTTTTCTAAAAAAAAAAACATTTTAAAGCTATTGTTGATTATTTTCAAAATTATTCAATTAACAATTTGTTAATTTAATTAAATTTTATTAAATTAAATTCCAAAAAAAAAAAAAAAAGGTGATCATTAAAGATTTTCTAGAACAAAGAATGATCATCAATTCATCAATGATAATTCACGATTATCATTTCCGGAAGATGATTTTATTGTTGAAAGGATGAAAATTTTTTCAACTGATACTGATGATGCTAATATCGAATCAACAACATTTACATTACTACCATTTTTATGGACCGGAAATGGTGATGATTTTGAGCAACCGGATGATACGGATATTGATGAAATGATCGAAACAGCGCAATCAAAAATTACTTCAACAGAAAAAATTACACAATCAATAAGCAGTAATGTTGCTAATGAATTAACACATATTAAAAGTACTGATAGTAGTAGTGATAAGCATTTGGATTATCATTTATTAACTGATAAAATAGATAATAGTAAGGTAAATTTACCTATGACATCTAGTAGCAACAACAAAATGTCATCTAAATTTCAAGCAAATGATCGATTTGAACAAACAAAATTAATTGAAAATGATGAATCATCAGAAGAAGAAGAAGAAGAAGGAGGAGGAGGAGGAGGAGATGGAACGATTAATTTTAAATCAATTTCTGATATGAATTCCTGGATGGATAATTATCAAAATTTAACGACAACAACAACAACAACAACAACAACAAATTTATCAGATGTCACATTGGATGACATTAATACATCATTCACTGATGAAAATGCTAAATTTTTATTGGAAACTATTTTTTCAAAAGTAACACCAATCGATGATAAAATGATAACTGCTACTGATGCTACTGCTACTGCTACTGATAAGTTATCAACAAATGAAATGAATGATAAAAATGTTTCAGAATTTGTTGACAAAAATGGTGTGACAAATTTGGAAACTTTAACGCAATCAAAAATTGTACCATCATTAGATATCAATGATTTTGCATATTTTTTAGAGGATTTGACTATTTCATCTACTTCAACAACATTCGATGAATTGATAAATTTGAATTCACAACAGAAACATTCCAATTCATTTCAATTAAATGAAAAATTTGAAACAACAAAAATTGCCGAAAAAGGAAATGCTGAAATTACTGGAATAAAAGAAGCGGAAACAGAATTAAACCGAGGTGAAATAATTACTGAACCACTGAAAAATATGATTACGCCTCATACGGATGATATATTGGATATTCCGGTTGAAAATAGCAACACAATGGAAATGGATAGTGTGACAACAATTTTGGAAGTACCACAGATTAGTTCCGGACAATCAACATTTCCAGAAAGTAGTTTCATTCAAGAAAAGATACATTCAAGTGAAAGTGATGATAAAGTGATGGAACAATTAGCATCCGGAAAAAGTAATTCATTTCCTACCACCGAATTCTCAACAATTCTAACAAATAACTCTCCGGAAAATGTAATGGATTTAACCGGAAGCGTAACTGATACTTCCTTGCTATCAGATGATAAAAAATTATCAATGACAACGAGTAAATTATTGATAACGGATGATTTCTCACCGTTTGATGAAATATCAGAAATAATGAAAGGAACCGATGATTCATCACAGTTTACCAATAGTCATCCTGATAAACCTGATTTATCAATAGCTCAAACAACAAATGATTCATCAGATAAACCAATAGTTATCGGTTTCATTCCCGAAGAAGATGATGAGCTAATAATCGATGATAGCTTATCATTATTAACTTCTGCTACTACTGCAAGTACTAATGATAACAATTTTGCAATTAAACCTCAATCAATTCTTAATCCGGAAATTCCTGATTCTAATCATCAAACAGTCGACAGCACCACAACAACATCAAATTTAAGCATAAACAATTGGCTAACATTTTTTGAAACATCAACGATTACACCTGAAATTGCAATTGATATGAAAAATGAAGTTAACAATGATGCAAAAGTTGCGAATTCAGAAATTTCAATCACTCCAATACCAATGACAATTTTTAATATAACAATGCGACCATCAAAATTTAATGCTAAACATTTGAATCGATCAAGTAATAATAATAATAATACTTATACTTACTTAATTTTGGATGAAGTAAGTTATACGAAATTAAATGAATCAAATATGTATGATTCATCATCAACAATTACATCAAATATCGATGATCAAAATATTTCACTAAATGATTTATTGTATGATGAAAATGAAATATACAATGATTTATATACCGATGATTCACTCTCGTCAACAACAACAACAACAACAACAAATGATATGACAATACCGCCTGGCGCAAAATTTACAATGGAAAGTTTATCATTGCAAAAAATGCATCAAATAAGATCGGAACCGGAAATGGCAACAACATCAATTTTGCATACAGTCAATAATCAAATTAAAAATGCTAATGAGCATGATAATAGCTTAATTTCAATAGATAATCCTTCAGTATCATCATATGATGATACTGAAGAATTGATAGAAGAAACTGATCCGGAAAATCGCAATACTGAAAATGCAATAACTACAACTCCAACAACAATATCACAAATAATAAATTCAAGAAAATCTGATATTACCAGACGTACATTGGATGAAAATTTAAATGATCAAATTACAATTGGAACAACATCTATTCCTGAAATTGAAGAAATTGCTGATAAAAATATGAATCATAAAAAAATTATTCATCAAACATTAACAGTACTTAAAACAGAAAATGCTATCAGTGATGATTCATCGTTATCAACAATATCACCATCTGTTTCCACTTCAATATCATTTGAGCAAGCAATGAATGAACTTTTATCATCTGATTCAAATTTTCTACACAAATTAAATACATTAAATTTACAATCTCAAATTAATGCTACTACTACTACTACTACTGCTAGTGATACTGATAAAGAATTGATAAGCAGCACTGATAAGAATGACAATATTTTTAACACTATAGCATTGCAGTCATCACCTTCGTCAATAATCGCTAAAACTGAAAATTTAATTTTTCAACAAAAATTCAAAACAGGCAGAAATGATATCACTTCAGTTAACAATCCTATTTTGGATAATGATGATGAAAATTTGCGATCAAATGCGGAAATTTCAACAATTGACAAATTTTCGTCAGATGAAAGTATCAGCGATGATAATACTTTCATAAATGATGATCATACAGTATCCAATAGTATATCTTTATCAGTTACAACAATCGTTCCGGAAAATCTGATCCGGAATTCTTTTGCTAATGATGAAAATTTGCGATCAAATGCGGAAATTTCAACAATTGACAAATTTTCGTCAGATGAAAGTATCAGCGATGATAATACTTTCATAAATGATGATCATACTATATCTTTACCAGTTACAACAATCGTTCCGGAAAATCTGATCCGGAATTCTTTTGCTAATGATGAAAATTTGCGATCAAATGCGGAAATTTCAACAATTGACAAATTTTCGTCAGATGAAAGTATCAGCGATGATAATACTTTCATAAATGATGATCATACAGTACCCAATAGTATGTCTTTATCAGTTACAACAATCGTTCCGGAAAATCTGATCCGGAATTCTTTTGCTAATGATGAAAATTTGCGATCAAATGCGGAAATTTCAACAATTGACAAATTTTCGTCAGATGAAAATATCAACGATGATCATACTAATAGCAAAAATATTCGATCATCTGAAATTTCCATAAATGATGACCTTTCACCTGCTGAAAGTAACACCGATGATTTTACCATTGATGAAAAAGCTCAATTATCCGGAATTTCTACAAATAATAACTTTTCACCTGATTGGACTCATATCGATTATAGTGAAATTAATACTGAAAATTTACGATCATCCGGAATTTCTACAAATAACAAATTTTTGCTTAATGAGAATGTCACCGATGATCTCAGTAATGAAGAAAGAAGCATTCAATCATCATTGGAAACATCAACAAATAATAATTTTTTATTTGACAAAAATAATTGATGAGGAAAGAAATAATAAATAATTAGCATTATTTTGAAAAAAGAAATTAATTAATTAATTAATTTTTTTAATTAATTAAATCGATTAGATTAATCAATAAAAATCAGTTATAATAAATAAGTAAACAAACATTTCTTTTCTTTTTTATTTAAAATTTTCTCTATGATTTTAATCAATTCCCAATTTAGTACTTTTGAATAATAAATTATTTCTAGTCAATGAATTCTTTCCTCAGGTTATCAAAATTAAAAATTTTTACAAATGCAAAAAAATATAAATAACAGTTAATATTTCTTATTATTATATAATTAAATGAATTATTTTATAAACTTTTTTGAATTAATGCGCAAATGTGTAAATAAAGAAATTAATTACATTAAATAATTCTACAATAATTTTTTATATTAAAAAACTTTTTCAAATAAATTTTAATTCTCATTTGCAAGAAAAAAAAAGAAATAAACAAACAAACAAATTTATCTTTAAATTGATGAAAAAAGAATTTTTTTTTTTCAAAATTATATTTTTTTAAATTTGACTGTCACAAATTGTTTCAATTTTTTTTTTTAATAAATTTTAATTTTCATAAATTAGTTAAAAATTTTTCCTTGCAAATGAATTTAATTGCACATATGTAAATTTTTTTAAATTTCATTTATAATTTTTACACATTCAAATGTTATAAAGATTTTTCACTCAAAAAAAAAAAAACGGAAAATTTTTAAAATTTTTAATTTCATTAATATTCGATTAATTCAATACAGTTTTTCTAATTTATTTCAAATCTTTAAAATTCATATATATAATTAAAGCAAAAAAGAAAAAATTTCATTTGAAATACATTAATTAATTGCAATAGTAATTACTTTTATTATTATCGATTATCGTATTTTAATTAATATTATTTTTAATTTTTGTATTTTTTATATTTACAAATTAATTTTTTGAAACTGTAAATTACAATCAAATTATTATTATTATTTTTAGTATTCCATTATAAAATTTTCTTGAAACGTAACAAATTTATGAATTTTTTTTTTTTAAAATTATTGTATCATTACAAATTATAAAACATTAATTATTTCAAATTTATACGTGACGTGACCTGTATTATAATCCAGTTTTCTTGCTGTTGTGTATATTTTTAATTTAATTTAATTTTTTTAATATTTATTTAATAATCGAATTTATATATAAAAAAAAAAGACAAATGGTTATTAATTATGTGTGATAAAATTAATTGTAATTTTGATTATTCGATTTTTGTTAATTGTATTTTTTTTTTGCTTATTTTGATATCAAACTATTATTGTAATCTTTTATCACTTATCATTCTTTTTTTATCATTTCGAATTCAAATTTTAATCATACTTATGATTAAATCATTAAATTGTATGTTAATTAGTTCATATGCAAAGTGAAATATTATAATTTCAAATATTTTCATGTACGCATTTTTTGTTTGTTTGTTTTTTTTTCATGTTGTATGATTAATGGATAATTAATTAATAATTAGGGAAAATGAAAATTACGATTAATCGATAATTAATTAATAATTAAAAGAACGAAAATTATGATTAATGGATAATTAATGAGTAATTAATTAATTAATAATTAGAAAAAAAGAATGAAAATTATTGGCGAAGATGATGAGTGTATTTTCGAAATTTTTTAAATTTTATATGATATTTTGAAAAATAAATTTTTAGAAATTAACATAAAAATGAATTTTAATTTTAGTTTAATTAAAATCCATCTTACTAAATCATAATTTGATAATATTTAATTTGATAAGCAATTTTTATTCACATTTAAATTTATTTGATCATGTTGCAGTTTTTTAAAATATTAATTTCAGATCAACATGAATGTCTAAGAAAACAAAATTTTTTAAGTAAAATTTAAGAAAACAAAATTTTTTCAGTAAAATTTAAGAAAACAAATTTTTAAGTAAAATTTAAGAAAACAAATTTTTTAAGTAAAATTTAAGAAAACAAATTTTTTCAGTAAAATTTAAGAAAACAAATTTTTTAAGTAAAATTTAAGAAAACAAATTTTTTCAGTAAAATTTAAGAAAACAAATTTTTTAAGTAAAATTTAAGAAAACAAATTTTTTCAGTAAAATATTAAATTATCTTAGCTTCAAAGAAATTCATAATTTATCACTAATTCTACTCAGATTTGATTAATCTTATCAAAAAGGAAAAAAATTAAAACTTTATTAAGAATTCATATGAAAAAAAAATTATCAAGAAAAGAAAATGTTTTGAATAAAAAAGATTTTTTTAAAGAGATTTTTAAAATTTAAAAAAAAAAGATTTTTAAAAAGATTTTTTTAAAAAAAATTTTTTGATTAATAATTTACAAAACATTAATTTATTGTTATTCCTTCCATCATTGATTCGTTTTTTTTTATTATTATTATTATTTTTGATCAAATAAAATTTGAATAAATTTTCAATGAAAATTTTTAATAAAAACAAAAAAGTGTATAATTTATAAATGTATGCAAATTTTATGAGTGATTAATAATAATTCAGTAAAATATGCTAACAGTTTTTTACTTACTTTAAATTATAAATTTAAAACAAAAAATTTTATAAAAACAAGAATGAGTAATATAAAATTGTATCATTTCATATTTTTAAAATGATAATATAAACTAAAATAAAAAATATTTTTGAAATTTTATAAAAAATAAAAAGAACAAAAATAAATTTAACGTCAACAATATGATAAATGAATGTAAAATGAATTTGAATTCATTTTTAAAAAATTAATTCTTCTTTCTGTTTTCATTTTTTTTTTCATATCAAATTAAATTTTAAAATTATATTTTAATTTTGTATCACTAAAATTGAAACTTTTCTGTACTGAAAAATTGAAACTTTTCTGTATATTTATTCATTATATTTGCATATTTTTGTAATTCGATTTATTAAATTTTATATTTTTGTAATTTATTTATTAATTTATATTTATATATTTTTGTAATTCGATTTATTAATTTTTATATTTTTGTAACTCATTTATTATTTTATATTTACTTATTTTTTCAATACGATTTATTAATTTATATTTATATATTTTTTTAATTCGATTTATTAATTCATATTTATACATTTATGTAATTCGATTTATTAATTTATATTTATACATTTTTGTAATTCGATTTATTAATTTATATTTAAAAAGTCAATAAATCCACCATAGTAACATTTTTAAATAATAAATAAGTTTGTTTTATATATTTATAATTTTTCTTTTTTTCTTTTTTTTTTCAATATATCTTTTAAATAAAATAAATGAAAAATTAAAATTGATATAAATTTAAGTATTTGTCATTCATTTAAAAATGATATAAATTTAATTATCATTCATTTAAAAATGATATAAATTTAATTATTGTTTATCATTCATTTAAAAATGATATAAATTTAATTATTGTTTATCATCCATTTAAAAATGATATAAATTTAATTATTGTTTATCATTCATTTAAAATTGATCTAAATTTGATTATTGTTTATCATTCATTTAAAAATTGATATAAATTTAATTATTTATTTATCATTCATTTAAAATTGATATAAATTTAATTATTGTTTATCATTCATTTAAAATTGATATAAATTTAATTATCATTCATTTAAAATTGATATAAATTTAATTATTTATTTATCATTCATTTAAAATTGATATAAATTTAATTATTGTTTATCATTCATTGGTTATTTTCCAATCGTCAACAATAATTTTACTGATTGAAAATTAGATGACACTTTTAAAAGAAACTTGAGAGAGAGAGAAAATACGGATATTGGCATTTTGTCATCATTGTCACCATTCCGTTGTCATTTCTCGAACTTTTGTCATCAATCCCTAATCAAAATCGTATAATTCCAGAAGTATGTATGTATGTCATTATCCATACATACACACATACACACACACATACACACACACACATACACAAAGAAAATACATATGGGACAGACAGAATGTGACATACAAGTTTTTGTGACACATCGAAAAGTATGACAAGAACGATTTGTAATAGATTGAATGTCTTTCACTAAAATCAAATTTCATTTTCACTATTCATTCATTTATTTATCTCTTTGGATAACCTTCTTTTTTCTTTTTTTTTTTTTGCTTTTAGTAATTATAATTGAAAATTGATTATTTTAAATAATTTTAATTTTGATAAACAAAAAACAAAAAACGGAAAAATTAATTAAATTAAATAAGAAATAAATTTTTTGTTGCAAAATTAATGAATGAAATTTTTTTTTTTTTAATGTTATTGAGAGACTTTTTTTTTTATGTGAAATTGTCTGATTTAGGAATTAATTCAGTTAATTCTAAAAAAAAAAAAAAAAAATTAGCAGGAAAGATTATTAGTAAATTGAGAAAAAGAAATTTTAGATAGAGAAAAATTTGAATAAATTTAGGAATGTTTCTAATGAAATTCAGGTTTTTTTTAACATTTATAAATAAATATTAATAAAAATGTTTGTTTTAACATTTATAAATTAAATATTAATAAAATTTTTCTGTTTTTTTTTAGCTAATTTTTGTTTTTTTGTATTTTAATAATTTTTAAAAATTGCTTACTGTTATATTAAATCTTATTGTTCGTGAAAACTACTTGTTATTGAATAAATTAAAAAAAAAAAAACTTTCATCAAATATTTTAACGGAGATTATTATACGAATAAAGAAATGAAAAAAAAAAATTTTGATGAATAAAAGATACAACAAAATAAATTTGTGTAATTAAAAATTCACAAATTTAATTATGCATAAAAATTCAAATTAAATGAATATGAAAATTAAGTTCTTTTTTTCTTTTAATATTTTGCTTTTCATGAAGTTTTCATCATTGAAAGAAGTATGAATTACATTTTTTATTTATTTTTCTTTTTTTTTAAAAATAAAAATCAAAAATTCTTTTCTCTACAAAAGGGAAAAATTTGAAATTTGAATTTGTCTAAAATTAACAATCTGAATGCTTTATTGGTATTAATTTTTTAATATCAATAATATAATTCAATTTATTTTCATAAAATTTCATTGAAAATTTAAAAAGAAAAAAAAAACTAAATTATTTTTATATTTTTATTTTCGTCAAAATTTATTATAAATCTATCATATTTTTTTTTTTTAAAAATTACTCTGCAATAAGTTAATTGCCATTAATTAAAAAAAAAAAACAAATTAAAATAATTTTCATATTTTCATACAACAAATTGAAATTAGAAAAACATAAGTAATCAATTATGATTTTATAATCTTATCAATTTATAATAATATTATGGTTGTTGTTATATATCATGAATTTAAGTCTTTTTAAATTTAATTTAAATTCTTAATTAATTAAATACATCGTTGATTTAATCCAATTCGAAGTACAAAGAGTAAATTTTCAACAAATTTATCGCAAAAATTTTCATCTTCCTTTTAGAAATTAATCATAAATTGTAATCAATTTTTATTTATTCAAACTAATTTTAATTTTAATTTTTTTTTTAATGTAATTTATTTAAATATACCAAAATTTATATATTTGTATTTCTTTTTTTTTTTCTTCTTTTTTTCATCCCTTGAAATTTTTTACCAATTATTCAAATTTTCTTTTAAAAAAATTAAATCAAATTTTTTTTTTTTTGAAAATGACCATCATTAATATTTCCTGAGTACCGCAAATTTCTTTTGATAGTTTTGCAGTGACAAACTAATCGACCAGTTAAAATGTCCTCAATTTCAATTTTACATTGCAAAGCATATATCTTTTTAAAAAAAAAAAAAGAAAAATGATATATTAATGAAAATTAAATTAAATTTTCAGCGCATTTTAACTTTTTTTTTTTTGTTTTCCTTTCAATTTTAATGATTTTTTTGTTTTTTATTATTTAATATCCAAAAAAAAAAATAATATTAAATGATTATAATATCGTCAAGTGAAAATATTACGATTTTGATTTATTAAAATTTAAAATATCGATTAAATAAAATTATTTAAAAATAAAAAAATAAAAAAATTAAAAACCAGGATGAAGAAATTATTCTATCTATTACTCATTTCCACTTTATCATATCAAACATTTGCATCATTTTGTGGCTCAACTGGTGTACCATTTAGTTTTGAAGTGCTACCTTCAGGTTTGTTTTTTTAAATTTTTAATCAAAAATCAATTTTTTAAATTTAAAGAATAAAAAAAAAAAAAGTATGAAATAATTTCTTTCCTTTTTTTTTAAAATAATAATTTAATCAATTACTTATATTAATATGCATATTTAGGTGCACCAATACTTGGCTGTGCACAACCAACCTGTGTAGCGGCAAATTTAAAAGGTAAAAAAGATGATAGCAATTTTCTGGTAAATGCAAATGGACAAGCAGATGGTTTTATGCGTGAAGATGATAAAGATAGTAAAGCATATGGTGATCCGTATGGTAATAAACTTTATGCTGTATGTTTTTAATTTTAAAATATTTTAATTTAAAAATTTATTACTAATTGCAATAAAAAAAAAGATAAGTGAATTAGATATGTATAAGTGAACTTATGGTAGTAAACTTTATGCTATGTGTTATTTAATTTTAATTTGAAAATTTTCTATTACTTGCAAAAAAAAAGATAAGTGAATTATATATATAAGTAAACTTATGGCAATGAAATTTATGCTGTGTGCTTTTTTTTTTTTAATTTTAAATTTAAAATATTTCAATAATTTTAAAATTTATTACTAATTGCAATAAAAAAAGGATAAGTTAATATATATGGTAGTAAACTTTATGCTATGTGTTATTTAATTTAAATTTTAAAGTATTTTGATTTGAAAATTTACTATTATTTGCAAAAAAAAAGATAAGTGAATTATATAAATATATAAGTGAACTTATGGCAGTAAACTTTGTGCTGCATGTTTTTTTAATTTTAATTTTAAAATATTTTAATTTAAAAATTTATTACTATTTGAAAAAAGAATAGTTTACTTTATGCTGTATGTTTTTTTTTTTTTTTAATTTTAAAATATTTTAATTTAAAAATTTACTATTATTTGCAAAAAAAAAAAAAAAAAAAAAAGATGAGAGAATTATATATGTATAAGTGAACTTATGGTAGTAAACTTTGTGCTGTATGTTTTTTTAATTTTAAAATATTTTAATTTAAAAATTTTTTACTAATTGCAAGAAAAAAAAAATTTTTTTTCTGCATTTCAAAAAAAAAACACGACTTGAATTAATGAAAAAAAAATTACTATTATTTTCAATTCAAAATTTGAATTATTTTTTCCAAAAAATTTTTTACAGTGTTTTTTACAGTGAAATATTCATTTTCAATTGATGAAATTATTATCAGTCTGATGATTAATCTTATCAATATCAATCTTATCACAATGAATTATTTCAAATTTAAATATTTTGAATGAAATTATTTCAAATTTTGATTGTTTGAATATATTTCTTTTATTTTAATTTTATAAATGAATTATTTAAACAAGTTTTTTTTTTAAAAAAATTTGCATCCAATATGTTAAAACAAATAAATTTTTCAAAATTTTTCATCCTAAACAAACAATTATTTATCCATTAAAAAAAAAAAAATATTTTTTTTCTTTTCTGTAAAATTTTTGAGAAACTCTTCCTTTTTTTTCTCTAAAAAAAAAAAAGTTTAATTAATAATGCATTTTGTAGAATTGTTCCGGTCAATTTTCTGATCTGTCATGTTTACGGAAAGATCAATGGGTTGGTGGTATCGAATATATTGATCATCCACGACAACCGTGAGAATTTAACCTGAAAAAAAAAATGCGAGAAAGAGAAATTTTGTTTAAAAAAAAAAAAAATTAATGAGAAGTAAAATAATCAAACAAAATATAACGAATTGTCTTTATTGTTAGTGAACAATGCATTTTGAAAATTAAATTTACCCATTTGTTTACTATAATAAAATTAAATGTCATCTAAATTTGTATAAAAATTTGTTAATTAATTTATATAAAAATTTGTTAACTAATTTAAAATTTGTTAATTAATTTATGTATAAAAATTTGTTAATTAATAAAAATTTGTTAATTAATTTATTATATTTTTTTAATTAATTAATTTATTATATTTGTATTAATTTATAGATTAATCCTACAATGCTGTACATTTCCTGGATTACGATTTTCGCAAGAGGTTGGCATAACAAATGTTGGTCCAGGTGAAGCAATTACCGGTGGTGAAGTAATTAGAGATGGGCGACAGATAAGTTTTGATGTGATAGCAAATGCTCGAAAAGTAGTAGATGCTAATACACATATGTTAGTTTTTATTTCATTTCTAATCATATGCAAAGATTAGAAAAATAAAAATTTAAATTCAAATTAAAATTAAAATGACATTATACATTTAAATGTAAACATTAAATTTTAATAAATCATTTAAAAAAAAAATTTTTAATTTATTTATATAATTTCATTTGTTTTCTCAATAATAATTACTTTTAATTTTCTTGTTGAAGAGAGAGAGAAAAATAAATAAAAGTTTTTACATGAAGAATTTTGCACATTTTTTACAAAAATTTTTTTATTTGTAATAAAAATAACTTTTTCTAACAAAATTATGCTATTTTTTAATTTATCATTTTTTTTTTAAAAAAAAGAAAATTAATTTTATGTTAATTTATCATTTAGCATTTTAGAAAGAATTAACTTTTAGACGAGCAAAAATGCTATATGATTGATAAAGATTTCGAGTAAAAATTCTGCATATTTTGTTTCAAAAAAAAAAAACTTTCTCGAGATTTATCAATTTTACAACATTTCTACAAATTTGTCAAATTTATTGGAATGCTAGGCCAAATGATTAAATCTAAAAATGTTTATTTGCAAATCAATTAATTGCTAATTAATTATCATTTTTTTAAACGAATGTGGAAAAATTATAAAATTGTTTTTGTAATAAATGCAGAAGTATTAATTAATTTCTTTGTAATATCAAAAATATTTTATAATTTAATTTAAAATGGTAAAAATTTTTGCAGTGTTTCATATGAAGTAACGGTACGGAGAATGCATTGTTTACCGGATCCACCGGAACCAGTTGTTGACTGTTAGTCGTTTACTAATTTTTCACATTTGTCAAAATTTCTCTTCATTTCGTCATTTCAATGAATGAATTGTTTGTCTGTACGGAAAATCAAAAATTTTTAGAAACTTTATCCATGTGTATACACACATACATACACATACACACACATACACACACATACACACACATACACGTACATACACATACAAACACACACACATACATACATGTTCTATTCTATTACTAATAGCATCCCTGTAGTAAATGAGATATAATCGGGGTATTTATCCAAAAAATCTAAATTGAACAAATAAAATATTTGTAACTAGGAATAGAAATAGATTAGATAGATAGGTAGGTAGATAAATAGATCAGGTAGATAGATGGATCAGACGGATAGATCAGATAGATAAATCAGTTAGATAGTGAGATCAGAAAGATCAAACAGGTAGATAGATTAGATCAGACAGATCAAATAGGTAGATGGATTAGATAGATCAGATAGGTCAGACAGATGGATAGATCAAATAGACAGAGAGATCAGACAGATCAATAGGTAGATGGATTAGATAGATCAGATATATGGATAGATCAAATAAATAGATCAGATAGACAGAGAGATCAGACAGATCAAATAGATAGATGGATTAAATAGATCAGATATATGGATAGATCAGATAAGTAGATAGATCAGATAGATCAGACAGATGGATAGATCAAATAGACAGAGAGATAAGACAGATCAAATATGTAGAAGGATTAGATAGATCAAATATATGAATAGATCAGATAGATATCAGATAGGTAGACAGATCAGATAAAAAGACAGGTGGATAGATCAAATAGATAGGTAGATGGCTAGATAGATCAGATAAATAGGTGCAAGTGAAAGTCAATTTATTCTCATTTCATTCTAACAATGATCAACAATGATCATATTATGTTGACAATTTGATCTATTTATGATTATTGTAAAATGGATCTCACTCTACGTCTTAATTCTTCATTCTCTTTTATATCATAGCTAAGAATTGTTCAAATTTAAAATCATAAAATCCTGTTCTAAAATTTAACCCAATTTTAAATTTTAACCCTATCGTGAAATTTCAATCTTTAATCAAACTAAAGGTGGAAAAAAAAAAGAAATGTAAAAAAAAAAAGTTGTAAAGAAGAATGTTATCTTTTCTCCTTTATTGTAATTGAAATTTTACTCCAAATTTTTCTTTTGTTTTTTCTTTTCTTCTGCTGTCTTTTAATTTTTCACCACTAATAATCCATATATGATATTACAGTTAAAAAGGATGTTAGTGATGAGATAGTGAAAGTATTGACAAAAGGAACTGACCTTTCAACTTTTCGAAAAGAGAAATCATTGAAAAAGGAAAAATTGGATGAATTACAAGGGAAAAAAACATTGACAGATAATGGTTCAAACAAAATTGACGAGAAAAAACAATACAAGTAAAGCAGTTTCATTCTGTTTTTTTTCCTCTATCTAAATTTTAATTTCATTAGAATTTAAAATTGTTATCATTCTAATTTATCAACATATCAATATAATTGTAATATCATTTTTTTCTTTTGTACCAATAAACAAATAGCTAAAATTAAGAAAAATTGATATGATTAATTATATTTATAAATAAATTAATAAAAATTCTAGACATTAAATTAGTAATAGAAAGAAAAAACAAAAACAAATTCATCACTTATCATTTAGGAGAATTGAAATTGAAGAAAAGGAAAATTTGAAAACAACTATGATGATGAATAGAAATGATGCAATGCAGAAGCGAAAAGAAATTGATGTTAAAGCAGAAATAACATTAAAACCAAATATTGCTCAATCATTAGCTATTCCATTAAGCAATCGTAAATTGGAAACAGATCATTCTTCAGATCATTCTGATAACAATAATTTCTCAGATGATAACAATCATAATTTTGCTACTCATCTAATAGCACAAGGTGGTGAATCAAAAGCATTTGGTCAACAACAGGTAAATATGTTTGGTCAACAAATACCACAGCTACCATTACCACAAAATGATTTTGCTTTTGGTTCTGTTCAGCAACAAGGAACTAATCAAATTATTCAACCAGGACAAAATCAGAATCAAATTATTCAACCAGGACAAAATCAGAATCAAATTATTCAACCAGGACAAAATCAGAATCAAATTATTCAACCAGGACAAAATCAGAATCATGAACCATGCACAACACAATGTCAACAAACACCATGCTTTTTAAATCAATGTAATCAAGGCTTAAATCCGGTTTTAGGATTTCCTACACTTTTCCCAATTACTTTTCCAACATTACCAGGTTTTCCAACCTTAAAACCACAACCTTTTCAACCATTTATAACCAATACTTATCCTACTGCAGCTCCACCACCACCACCACCTCCACCACCACCACCACAACCACTATATCAACCTGTTCCTGGCTCTTCACCTTCTCAACAATCATTTCAATCTATTCCAAATTATTTTGATCAATCTAATTCTGATCATGTTGCTTCATTCAATTTACCATCATATTATGATACAACTGGTGCTAAAAGAAATGTTAACTCGAACGGTAGATTTATGCCACTATCAATTGCTCCAATAACACATACTCTTACAACACCTGCAATAAACGCAATTCCAACACAACAACTTTCCGGAAGACCAATGCTTTTATCCGGTTAATACCATGCAATTTTTTTTTATTTCCTTTTTTATAAATATAAATTTTTCTAAGTAAAAAGTTGTTTATATCCATAAATATGATAATTATATTTATTTATTTTTTAAAAAATCTTACTAAATTTCAAATTCTCAAACAAACAAAAAAACATTCTAATTTTTAAGATGGAGAACAGAAAGAAAAGATTTTCATTGAATGAAATTATATATAGTTAGAAAAAGTGAAAAATTATTTTCAGGAAATCAAATTCCTAGCAGTCAAGTTACAATAAGGCCATTAACATCATTTGAAGAATTTATGGCAAAACTTGGTTATCATAATGTAAGTTTTGCAACTTTAGCACCAGCAGGTGCATTAGTAATTTCACCTGAATTTACGGTAGCTACTCCATTTCCTATTCTTTCACCTTCATTACAAGCGACAACTGCTACTGCTGATAATCAAGCTCAAATGTTTAATCCAAGAACTGGCATTCAATCATATCAACCAGATCAATATCATCATTCTTCTGGTATGTTTACCACTATTTGTAAAACTATAACAAACTTTGTTTTTTTTTTTTTGTCATCCAATTTTACATTATTTCAAAAATTAGAAACTACTATATCATAATCAAATAATTCATACAACTAGCAACTACAGTATCCCAGCCAAATAAAGTACCGTATCATTTTGGTCGACACTGTGTGTTACAGTAATGCTAAACAGTAATGCCAAACAGTTAAAATATTAATAATTTAATATTGTGCGATATAACATGATATATTATACTGAGAAATATAACTATACAGTAAATAATATGCTATGTTATACTGATAACTATAACTATACGGTAACAAAATTACAGTATACTATATACCGCAGCAAGAGCAACCAGTAGATTTGGATGATGCAATGCTACAACGAACAGGCCTTCGACAACTGTGATCATCATCTATTTTTAATTCAATGTTGCAAAGCAATTTCACTTGATCTGTAGAATTTAATATTATGATATTTACTAAGATAATCATTTGATTATATCTATTGTTTTTTCTTTTTTCTCTTTTTATTTTAATTTATTATTTTTTTGGATTATGAATACAATGAAAAATGCATCCGATTAATGTTATCTTTGTTCCGGTATGTCCTGAAGACTAAAAGAAAGAATAAATAATATTATAGGATCTTATTAATTATCCTATTGTTTTTTAATACCTTATATTTTCGTAATATCTGCTAAGAAATTGCTACTGTTAAGCTATGATGTATTAACTAAATAATTAAAAGTTTTAATATTCGAACAAAAAAGTTAAATAAATATGAACAATATTTGGTGCTAACATTTAATAATAACAGTTCATTTAAATTTTTTTTTTAAGATATTTAAATATCCATTTTTATAACAAAATCAAAATTTTCGTTTCTATTCTAATTACAACAATTTTCAACTATGCCTTTTTTTCTTGATAATTAATTCAAAATTTTAAAATGATAATCATCTGATTTAATTATTACTGATTATTCGGTTTTCAAAAGACTGAAATGTTGAGAGTTCAATGATGTGAAATATTTAAATCATTCCTAATCCATATTCATGATATACATAATGACTGTATAATTGCACTAATTTACATACAAACAAGTAATACTTAACAACAACTACAAAAAAAAAAAAAGAAACAAAATTATTAAATTAAGAAGTGTAAATATAAATTGCTAAAATGGAATCATTAGAAAGCGGTCAATTTGATAGCAAAAATGAAGTAAATGGTGTGGAAATGATGTCGCAAAATTTTGCAAATACTAAAAATGTTACAGAAGAGAAAAATGAAATGGAAAATTTGAATGAAAGTTTGTTTGGTAATTTCAATATTAATTTATTGTTGTTTACAAAGAAACATTTTTTTTAATTCTTTTTTAGTTATGGATAAAAATTTTCAAAAGTTTAAAATTTCCAAAAGCTAAAATCAAATTCTCGACATCGAACATTTCTAACATTCGAAACTAACATACCAAGATTGCATAGCAAAAATTTCAATTCACTAATGAAATGATAAAATTTTTCAGTTTTGAAAAACTTTGTTTTTTTTTTTTGAATTTAATATTTTAGCCAAAATAGAAAAATATCTTGATTTGAAGAAACAATACTTCTGTTGCTGCAATATCAATGTTTGTCTTGAAAAATAGAATTGAAAATTCTTTGAACTATCAAAATTTAGTGGTTTTTTTCTTTGTTTTGTCTTTTTTTTAATATTTTTTAAAAATTAAAGGTGTTAGATTATTAATTTGCATAAACATCGCTGAATCTAAAATAAATTTTTCAATAAGATAAACCTAAATAAAAAGAAATTTTTCAGATTTGGATGTTGACTATAGCTGCTATCACAATATTTACAGCAGTTAAAACACAAATTTTACTTCTTGTTACAGACGATTTTACTGATAATGTAATCAATTTTATTTTTATTTTTCCGGTATGGATTTCCGGAATTTTTGCTATACTTGCTTACATATTTAAGATGCCATTACTCATTTGGCCATTTATTGTTTACTTGGTTAGTTGCAAATATTTTTGTTTATCGATTTATTATTCAATCAATTTATCAGTAATAAAAATTCATCATTTTTAACTTTCAACAAAATTGAACATAGCTATAAGTTATTATTTTACATGGTTATTAATTTCTGATCACATTATAATTATTATCATTGTTTATCATCATTATCATTATTGTCATTGTTTGATCAAATTCTAAGTAATTAATCACAAGAATTACCCAAAATTATTCCCGAGTGCTTCTATATATAATGATTTTGCATAAATCAATATATTATATACAATAAAGTTAATTCAAATTTCAGATCATTATTAACTTATTGATAATTGTTTGCCTAATTTATTGTACCATAAATATTATTCCTTCAAAAATTAATGGTAATGTATTATATAACTTAAATACATTACCATTGTTTATGTAATAATTCAGCTTAAATAATTTAATTTAATTTCTTCTTCTATTTTTTGTTATTGTACCAAGAAAAAAGAAAAAAATAAAATTAATCCATTCAAAGTTGAAAAAACTTAACAAAATAAAGTTCTAATTTATATTTCAGTAATTGCATATTTTATTGTATTTTCTACGATAATTGGAATTCAATTTATAATGCTATTTGAATTATACATAGCTTTTCGTTGGTATATTAATGCAAAAGCATTAAAAAATATTGAAAATTCCGATGAACAAAAGAAATAAAAAAAATTAAGATGCAAAGATGAAATTTTATAAAATTTGTCTAAAATTCCATTTGAAATAAAGTAACTTATTTGAAATAGCTAATTTGTAATAAACGTATTTCAATTCGTTTGTTAACGCTAATATAATTAAACTTTTTTTTTCTACTTAAGCAAATATCGACATTGCATTGATTGATTGATTTGTGATAGTATTATAAGTAAATATCGTATTATAAGTAAATATCGATATTGTATTGATTGATTGATTTGTGAAAGTATTACAAGCAAATACCGATATTGTATTGATTGATTTGTAAAAGTATTACAAGCAAATATTGATTGATTGATTGATTGATTTGTGAAAGTATTACAAGCAAATATCGATATTGTATTGATTGATTGATTTGTGATAGTATTATAAGTAAATATCGATATCGTATTGATTGATTGATTTGTGAAAGTATTACAAGCAAATATCGATATTGTATTGATTGATTGATTTGTGAAAGTATTACAAGCAAATATCGATATTGTATTGATTGATTGATTTGTGATAGTATTACAAGCAAATATCGATATTGTATTGATTGACTGATTGATTTGTGAAAGTATTACAAGCAAATATCGATATTGTATTGATTGATTGATTAATTGAATTGTGAAAGTATTACAAGCAAATATCGATATTGTATTGATTGATTAATTGATCTGTGAAAGTATTACAAGCAAATATCGATATTGTATTGATTGATTGATTGATTTGTGAAAGTATTACAAGCAAATATCGATATTGTATTGATTGATTGATTGATTTGTGAAAGTATTACAAGCAAATATCGATATTGTATTGATTGATTAATTGATTTGTGAAAGTATTACAAGCAAATATCGATATTGTATTAATTGATTAATTGATTTGTTTGTGAAAGTATTACCAATAGTTCAATTATTCTTTGACAAAAAATAAATAAAAACAATGCAAAAAATGAAATTATTTGATAATAGAGGAAAAATAATACATTAATAATATAATTTATTATTTCTACAAATTGAATTAGTATTACTTAATTTACAAGAAAACATAAATTTAAATAGACAGCAATGAATTTATTTATTTTGCAGTATTCGAAAAATGTCTGATTTTAAGCAATTTAAAAAAATATGCAAAATAAAACTAAAAATTAGTAAATACAAAATGACATTAAAAAAAAAATTAAAAACTAGTTTAACAAAAAAAAAAAAGATGGTAATAAAAGTAAATATGCATGCATAAATAAATATCATTTACTCTTCTAGTATATTTTTTATTATAAATTAAACTTTAACGATTTTCTTATTTTGTTAAATTTATTTACAGCAAATGAATAAAAAACAAATTAAGCCTAGAATTTATTCAAATTGGAACTTATTATAAGTTAAGCTTTAAAGTTTATTTTATTTTGTTAAATTTATTTACAATAAATCAGTAAAAAAAACAAACAAATTAAATCTGGAATTTTGTTATAAGTGAAGCTTTAATTATTTTCTTATTTCGTTAAATTTATTTACAATAAATCAATATTTAAATCTGGAATTTACAAAATTTGGAATTTATTATAAAATAAGTTTTAATGTTAACCTTATTTTGTTAAATTTACTTACAATAAATCAGTAAAAAAAAAAAACAAATTAAAATAATAAATAAACAAAAATAAAAATACATGCCTGCAAATATTTTTATGACAATTTATTCATCAAATTGTAACGTTTTTTTTTTTTATTTATTTTTGAAATGATTAAAAATATAATACATTCTGAAAAGCATATGCTAATTTTTTTTTTTCAAATAAGCTAATTAATTTCTATTTTTAAATATTTAAATGATTAGATTAATGAAATATAATTTAACCAATGAATCACAAACACATAGTTAAATCCGCTTTGTTTACATTGCTTTACTTCTCTTTCTATGTAATTAATTAAATATTTCATATTTAATTTTTATGTAATTAATTTCGAGTACAATGGAAAATATATTTGCATATTTAAAAATTCATTCATTTGCATAATTTTTTTTCACTTGTAAAATTGTAAATTATATTAATCAACAACAATTAATCGATTTAAAGCATTATCGGACGGTTGTTTATCAACTAAAAGTTGTTTATTTATTTTATCAATTTAAATATATAAATGGAAAGATTGTTTATTTCAATTATAAAATTCCATTACAATTCCATTTTTAATTCATTTTAATTCATTTTTTAAGTGAATTTTCCTTTAAAAAAAAAAAAGGCAAAACTTCTTGTGATTTATGTAGAAAAATTTTAATATTTTTAAAAAGTTTAAAACAAAATTTTTTTAGATCAAAAAATTTTGAAAAATAATGTCAACCAGAATAGCAGCAAGAAATGAAGAAAAACAAAAATTAGTATCATGGAGAAAGATAAAAGGTGAAAAAATTTGATCTGTAATTCATAAAATCAATTTGATCAATCAGTATGAAATATGTAAACAAATAATTTATATAAACAAAAAATAATTTAAATAAAAAACAAACAAAATAATTTATAGCATTCATAAAATCAATTTGATCAATCAATATGAAATATACAAATATATTAATATCAAAAAAGGTTTTTTTCCTTTTTTAGTTTCTATAATTAGATATTTATAAACTTTTTCGAGAAACTAAGTGAACAATTTTCGATTTTATTAATAAATTAATAATTAATTGGAGTAATCAATTTCTAATTTGCTTCAATTTTTGCTCAAAATTCTTCAAAACTTTTCTAATTAATTGATTAATTCGACAAAAAAAAGAAAAAGAAAAGAATTATCTTAGATTTTGTTAGTTTAATTAAACTTTAAAAATCAATGACCCAATGAAAAGGTCATTCGGAACGATTTGAAAATATTACCAAGAATACATATGAAGCAACAGAAGTGGAACAATTTGCCGGAATCTTTAACTATGATGTAATTTTTTAATCCGGTTTTCCATTCATACTTTATTTTCGGGAATTCTTGATTTGATGATAATTGTTTAAACAAAAAAATTGCATTGTTTATTTTAAATTAATTGTTATTAGTTTGTTAAAAGAGTAAACATTGTTCTAAGTTGGATACAAATTCTTGATAAAATAATTAATTAATTAATTATTTAACTGAATCTTTTTTTTAAATTCAATTATTTCATTTTTATGCTTTTTTCCTTTGATATAAAATATTTTAAAAGATAAAATTTGAAAAGGTATTTGTTAGATACAACGAATACGACAACAATTTAATCAAACAACATTTCGTTTCATCAATCGTACTGATCACATATTTGTCACTTTATCTCTTCTTGTCACCGTTGGCAATATATTACGTTTTCCGGTTATTTGCTCAGAAAGTGGTGGAAGTAATCAAATTTTCATTTTTATTTATTATAAATTTAGTTGAAAATTTATTAATCAATGATATTAAAATGAAAAATATGCAAACATTTCCATATATTTTATAATTTTTATAAATAAAACAATCAAAAAGGTTTGTATATTTTATAAAATAAAGCAATTAAATTTTGATATTTCAGTTGTATTTTATTTAAATTCGCTTATGTTAACTTTTAATTAAAATTTGCAAATTTCAATTTTTGTTTCAATTTATTCTTTTATATTTCAATTTAATTTCGACTTACATAAATTTAATTTAATATTTCTACATAAAAATATGCAAATATATTCTATATATGAAACAATTAAATTTCGATATTTCAGTTGTTTTTTATTTCTTTAATTAAATTTTGCACATTTCAATTTTGTTTCAATTCGTGCTTTAATATTTCAATTTAATTTCAATTTACATAATTTAATTTAATATTTCGACCTAAAAATAAAAATTATGCAAATATTTCCATATATTATATATATAAAACAATTAAATTTTGATATTTCAATTGTATTTTATTTAAATTCACTTATGTAAACCTTTAATTAAATCTTGCAAATTTCAATTTTTGTTTCAATTTATTCTTTACTATTTCAATTTAATTTCAATTTACATAATTTAATTTAGTATTTCTACCTAAAAATAAAAATTATGCAAATATATTCTATATATGAAACAATTAAATTTTGATATTTCAGTTGTATTTTATTTAAATTCGCTTTTTTGTAAACCTTTAATTAAATTTTGCAAATTTCAATTTTATTTTTAATTTATACTTTAATATTTCAATTTTAATTCTATTATTTATATTTTAGTCCTATTTTTTATCCCATATGTGTTATGTCTTATTTTTATTACAATGCCAATTATGTACTTGGAGAATGCAATTGGTCAATACAGTTCGCTTCCATCAATAAAACTTTTTTGTCACATCTGTCCTGCATTCGAAGGTTAGTATTATTTCAGTATTATTTATTTTCAGTACTAAAATATAATACTATTAAAATATTATTTCAGTATTAAAATTATATATAATATTCGTCGGTATTACTTTAATTTAAGACAAAAAAAAAAAAAAAAAACTTAGTTAACTTTACAAGTTTATTATTTGACTAATTTTACAGTGAGAATGTTAAAAAAAAAAATATAACAGTTTGATTTTATTTAAATTGAGAGAAGAAAAAAAAATAATTTGATCTATCATTAATTGTTCATCTACTACAGTATGCATAATGCTATTTTAAAATATTATTATTAACTGATCTGATTTATATGATATTAATTAGATTATTTAATTTGAAATATCATTATTATCTGATCTGATTTATATAATATTAATTGGATCATTTAATTTGATTATTGCCTGATCTGATTTATATGATGATATTAATTAGATCATAAAATTTGAAATATCATTATTATCTGATCTGATTTATATAATATTAATTAGATCATTTGAGTTGAAATATTATTATTACCTGATCTGATTTATATAATATTAATTAGATCATTTAATTTGACTATTACCTGATCCGATTTATATGATGATATTAATCAGATCATTTAATTTCAAATATCATTATTATCTGATCTGATTTATATAATATTAATTAGATCATTTAAGTTGAAATTTTATTATTACCTGATCTGGTTTATATGATGATATTAATTAAATCATTTAATTTGTTTATTGCCTGATCTGATTTATATGATGATATTAATTAGATTATTTGATATTATCTGTTTCTTTCTTTAGCTAAACACTTCAGCAATATGCTTCCGTAATTGTTCGGATCCGTTTTCTTCCACCGTTTACATTTCAGGAATTTCTCCCACCGTTTACACTCAGGAATTTCTTCTACTGTTTACATTTCAGTTCACATTTCACGAATTTCTCCTACCGTTCACATTTCACGAATTTCTCCTACCGTTTACACTTCAGAATTTCTCCTACCGTTCTACCGTTTAAATATCAGGATTTTCTTTTACTGTTCACATTTCAGGAATTTCTCCTACCATTTACATTTCAGGAATTGGTATTGCAATGTTATTAGTAGCAATTTGCAAAAGTCTTATATTATCATATTCCGTAATAGGTATCTTCCATACATTTAAAAGTATTACTACCGTATTCAGTTCCTTATCACAAACTACCTGGTTGGAATGTGTTTACGAAAGTCATTGTAATTTTCTTTTTCTTTTTTTTTTAAAACTAATTATATTTTTTTGAAAATTAAATTTTATATTCTCTGCTAATTTTTGCTTAAGTAATTTGGTATTATTTTATTGTTATTTATTGCTTTTCATACATGCTATTTAAAACTAGCTGTATTTATTAATAAAAAAACTTTAAATCAATCAAATTTTTAGCTAAAAATAAATTTGAAATAAAAAATTCAACAATTTCTTTATTAATATTATTTTTGATATATGTTAATAATCTATTTAGTATATTTTCACTTTCTTTATTTAGTTTTATTTTTGATATATGTTTTCAAATAAAATCTTGTATTTCTTTTTTATTTTCCAAATCAAATTAATGAATTTAAAGTTTTTTTTTGTGAAAAAAAACGATAGATTTTATTTCAAAATAATATTAATAAATTCATTATTGCATATATATTATATATATAAAAAAATATTAATACATGTATATTGATAAACGAACTTTCAATCAATCAAATTTTTAGCTAAAATTAAATTTGAAATAAAAAAATTCAACAATTTCTTTATTTAATATTATTTTTGATATATGTTAATAATCTATTTAGTATATTTTCAAATAAAATCTTGTATTTCTTTTTTCTCTCACTCAAAAATAATCAAATTAATTTTTTTCCAAATCAAACTAATGAATTTAAAACTTTTTTTTAAAAAAAAACGATAGATTTCATTTCAAAATAATATTAATAAATTCATTATTGCATATATATTATATATATATAAAAAAATATTAATATATGTATACTAATAAACAAACTTTCAATCAATCAAATTTTTAGTTAAAATTAAATTTGGGATAAAAAATTCAACAATTTCTTTATTTAATTTTATTTTTGATATATGTTAATCACTTCAAATAAAATCTTGCATTTCTTTTTATTTATCGAATTAAATTAGCAAATTAAAATCTTTTTTTTTTTTTAAAAGAAAAGATAGACATCATTTCAAAGTAATATTAATAATAAATTCATTATCGAATTAATCATTCCAATCAAAATAGTCATCAATTTATTACTGCAAAAAAATTTTTTTTTCAGCATCTTGTTATGATCCATATGTAAAATGTAATGAAGCAATTGGTAATTATCAATATTATTCAAAATGTTATAATTTTAAAAATGATGATCAAATATTAATAAATTCAAATTATACATGGGAACAAGTTGTAATAGCATTAACAACAACTTCTGAAGCACTTCGTGAATTTCCACCAAATATTTATTGGTATGATAGAAGTGATTGATAAATATTACATATGAAATTAAGCAATTTAAATTATTCAATTAAATATAAAAAGTATTTAATTGAATTTTGATTTTTTATTATTGATATTTTTTAAAAAAAAATTAAATGTTTAAAAATTTAAAATTTTAACATTTAGGATGGAGAAAATTAATAAAGCTGGAAATATAAGTGAATTTTTTATCGTTTCGGCATCTATTGAGCAAGCAATCATTGCTGTAATTGTAATTCTTGGAATACGTTTCTATGCTAAAGTATTAATTTAAATTTAATTTAATTTGAATTTAATTTGAATGAATTTTTAATTAGATCGAATCAAATTTCAATCTTTAATTTTCCCCCAGTTTTAAGCAAGTTATTTTGATTTAAAGTGAAATTTTAGCTCATTTCATTTCAGCTAATCTTGCAACCTTTGACCTTTGTTTTTAGATAGCTCGATTTGTTGTAATATTTCCGCAACTTTGCATGCTAATTTGTATTATTTATGCAACTGCTAAAGCTGGCTCTCAAAATACGCTTGCTTCAATAGCAGAAGGCTTTTCGCCGGATCCGGAAAAATTTTTCGATCTAAAAGTTTGGATCACTGCTGCACTTCAGGTTTTCTCTTTCATTCTTCCAGCAATTTTAAATTGAAATGCGAAATTAAATTATTAGAAAAATGGAAAAGTGTAAGTTAGATGATAAATAAATCCAAAATAAACAAATCTTTTGTCATTTTCCTTTACGCAAAATGTTTAACAAATATTTTTGCAAGCTTTTTTATTTCATAGAAAAATTATTTAAGAATTACTTAGATATTATGCAAAAACAAAATTCAAAATTTTAATTTTTTCTGTCATTGTCCTTATAAGCTAATTAAATTCAAAAAAAAAAATGAAAATTAATATTTTAAAAAAACAATCATACAATTTTGGTTCAAATTTTTTTTGAAAACGAATTAAGAAACAATTATGTTAATGTTCGAATCATTACAAATTAATAGGATAAGTTAGGTTTAATAAGTATTTTACTCAACTATTATTTAAATATTTGAATAAAAAATAATAAGATTAAATTTTACATAAATAGAAACATAAACATCCATTATTATTGTTATAAATAATAATTACTACTATTATTTAATTAATTATAATTTTTTTTTAAATTAATGTTATTGATAGAAATAAAAAAATTAAAAAAAACCGGTTGATATTAATTTTTTTTCTCATTTTTAGGCTATAATAACAACAAATATATTAGATGGAACATGTATAACATTAGCAGCAATGAAGGAATTCCGGAATAATTTCATGCGGTGCAATTTTTTTTTTCTATTCTCTATCAATTATCATTAAATAAAATATATTTAAATTGTTGATAATGATATACTGATTATATATTTTAGTTTTATTTAAAGATAAGAAATATTTAATATAATATCAGTAATATGATATAATATCACGACTCGAAAAATATAATATCAATAATATAATATAATATCAGCACTCAAAGTACTATATATAATAATTAATACTATTATTTATTTATAGCGACTCGAAATAATTAACATAATGTAATAAAAATATTTAATATAATATCAATAATATAATAATATAATATCAGGACTCGAAATATTTAATGCAATACCAGCAATATAATATCAGGATTCGAAATATTTAATATATATCAGTAATATAATACCAGGACTCGAAATATTTAATATAATATCAATAATATAAAAATATAATATCAGGACACGAAATATTTAATATAATATCAGGACTTGAAATACTTAATATAATATCAATAATATAATATAATAATATTAGGACTAGAAATATTTAATATGATATCAATAATATAATATAATATTAGGACTCGAAATATTTAATATAATATAATATCAGGACTCGAAATATTTAAGCAAACTTAGAGTGTTCAATTGATATTATATTTGAAAAAATCTGGAACAAAAAGTTTTATAAATTACACTTTGTACATTGTGTGAATCTATAATTTATGATAGAAGTGAAAATATTATAGAAACATTTTTAATTTTTTTTTTAATTAACTAAAACTCTTATCTTATCATAAATATTTTAGTGATACATTTCTGGTAATTATTTATGGAATGATAATTAATCTATTTGGTTGTTTTTTTGTATTTTCTGTAGGTGGTGCTGCTGTTAGCTTAATGTTTCCAATGAGTGTTGGAAAAGGATGTAAGCATATATATGTATTTGTTTACTTAAAAAACTAAATTAATGATAATTTGTTCAAATCATTTCATTTCCTCTTTTCTTTCTTTGCAGAAAAAAAGAAAAGATTAATTCGAAAAGTTTAATTTTATTTATTTATTTTTGATAAACATAGATTAAGCGATTATCAAGTGTTATTTTTTTTAAAAAAAAAGAAAAAAAAATTACTGATTAATATAAAATGATAAAATGAGAATAAGTAAATTCTTACAACATTAGAATATATTTATGCAATTTTTTTTTTCAAATTTTATATTTAATTTAATTTATACAAAAATACAATTTTTTTCATATTGATCAATTAATCGATTAATTTGATTAATTTGATAGCAAATCAAAATAGTTCAAAAATTAATATGCCTACAATGCATGTAAACATCAATTCTTATTGTTACAGCAAATTTTTATGATTAAAAGTAATTAGCATATAAGTACTATCAAAATTAATTGCTTGCAAAATATTTCATTAATTTAGTAGCAATGCTTTGGAAACATGGCGAAAATATATATTTCATTATGCTATCATTACTTTTTGCTAAAACTTTATTTGGTGCAATTTTAGTTTCACTTACATTCTTTTCACTTTTTTTATGCACAATTGGCATACAAGTAAGTACGAGTTACACTTTAAATTATTTAATTAAAAAAGAAAAAAACTTAGAAAATATATTTTTTTCAAAATTAAAAATTAGAACATTAATATATTAAATAATTATTTAAAAATTAATTCATCTTACTAATATTAAATAACATATGCTCAGTTCTTATCTATTGGTAATCTAATAAGTTAAGTTAATAATATACATCAAATTAAAAATGATAAGTGATAATGATTACAACTTGATAAAAAACTGTAGGTACTACGGTAAAGGATACCGAAGTTATATTAAAAGAAATATTCTCAGTCCTTACTTATTGGTAATCTTTAAATTAATAATATACATCAAATTAAAATTGATAAGTGATAATGATTACAACTTTGATAAAAAACTGTAGGCACTACGGTAAGAGATACTGTAGGTCTACTAATATTGAATGACATATGTTCAGTTCTTATTTATTGTAATCTTTAAATTAATAATATACATCAAATTAAAAATTATAAGTGATAATGTTTACAATTGTGATAAAAAATACTGTAAGTACTGCGGTAAAAGATACTGTAGGTACATTAATATTAAACGACATGTGTTCAGTTCTTATCTATTGCAATCTTTAAATTAATAATATGCATCAAATTAAAAATGATAAGTGATAGTGATTACAACTGTGATAAAAAACTGTAGGTATTACGGTAAAAGATACCGAGGTTATACTAGTATTAAAAGAAATATTTTCAGTCCTTATTTATTGGTAATCTTTAAATTAATAATATACATCAAATTAGAAATTGTAAGTGACAATGTTTACAATTGTGATAAAAATACTGTAAGTACTACGGTAAAAGATACTGTAGGTAGTAGTAATTGAAATGATCATCATGAGTGTATATCGAACTGTAATACGAATTAAATTTATCAATCAAGAAACATCTCGAAATATTATCATTTGTGTATATTTCTTATTGATGCATTTATACACTTATATATATGGTCGATTAGTAAGTTTAAATATACTTTTTTTTTTCATTTCAATGATATTTTTAATGCTAAAATTGAAATTTAATTAGTATTTTATTTCATAATTAAATTTCAATATTTTATTTCATAATTAAATTTCAATTTATTCCTTGTTTTACATTCGTTTCTTAAAATTTATCCACAACATGAATGTCTTTATAAAATGAGATTTTGCCATTAATTCATTTTCATTTTCTTTTTCATTAATATTTTCCTAGTCATTCATATTTTACTTTAGGTTCTATTAGTTTTACTTTTTATTAATCATAAATAATTATTTGTACAGCATATCATATGACTGAATTACTTAACTCCTTCTCAAAATTAATATCAAAATTTATTTCAACTGTCTATAAAGATTATAGGTCTATTACAAATTTTAACAATTATATTAATCATTATTTCAGGCTTTTGGTGATATAAGAGTTAATCATAATTATTTATTCGTCATATTACTGAATTATTTAACTCTTTCTCAAAATTATATCAAAACTTATTTAATTATCTATTAAGATTGTAGATCTATTATTAATTTTAACAATTATATTAATCATTATTTTAGGCTTTTGGTGATATAAGAGTTAATCATAAATATTTATTCGTCATATTACTGGATTATTTAACTCTTTCTCAAAACTAATATCAAAAATTATTTAATTATCTATTAAGATTATAGATCTATTATTAATTTTAATAATTATATTATTCACTATTTTAGGCTTTTGGTGATATAAGAGTTCGTTACTTTTATTTCTCGCTTATTCTTACAATACTTGCATTTCTTGAGCTATTAGCATGCATTCATATTTACCATCTGAAACGATTAATTGTCAATTTGCATACAATGCTTGGCGAACCACCAAATAACTTTTGGAGGTGAAAAAAAAAATTTCAATAATTTAGGAAAAAAAATTTTTTGAAAAAAAAAATTAGAAATTTCAATAAACTAAAATTTATTATTTATACATATTATTGTTTTGCTTATTGATACATTATTATTGCACTAACATTTTGTATTTTTTTTTACTTTTTATCTTGAATTTTAGTAAAATTTGTTATCTTTTTTTTTTTCAAAAATCCGTTATCAAAAATCTGAATGCATAAATTATTATATTTATGCAGCTATTAATTGATAATTGGACAATTATCAGTTGTTATCAATTGATAATTTTTTTTTATATGTGAGAGGAATAAAAGAAATAAAAATATTTTTGGATATTTGGGTTATCCGGTAAATTTGCATTGGATTATGTAGCTATTAATTGATAATTAGACAATTATCAGTTGTTATCAATTTTTTTTTTGAATGCAGAAGAAATAGAAAAAATAGAAAAAAATATTTTTGGATATTTGGGTTATCCGGTAAATTTGCATTAGATTATGTAGCTATTAATTGATAATCGGACAATGATCAGTTGTTATCAATTGATAATTTTTTTTTTTTTTGAATATAGAAGAAATAGAAAAAATAAAAAAAATATTTTTAGATATTTGGGTTATCCGGTAAATTTGTATTGGACTGCTTGTTGGTATATTATTACACCTGCACTTTGTATTGTAAGATTTTTTTTTTTTACTTTTTTTCTTTTTCAATTTTAGTAAATTTCAGTAATCATTGGATTTAAAAAAGGAAAAAAAAAATTAGAGTTTTTGTTTTTGCTTTTTAAAATTTACTATTTATCTTCAGATTTCGGGTGGAGTTGCTTTATTTATTATCATTAGTGGAAGATTATACAGGTTATTAAAAAATTAATTTTTTGATAATTTTCTTCCTTGAAAATACGAGAAAAAAAAACAACACAGTTGCAAAATTTTAATTAAAAACTAAGTGCATAGCAATGTTTTGGTATAAAAATAATGTACAAAAATAATTTTTCATTATATTAATAGGATAATTTCGATCAAAGATAAATTTTATTTAAGTCAAAAATTATTATGCAGAAATTTAATACTTTCGGTATAAATTTTCGGTAAAAATTTAATACGGTATGAATTTTATACCGTAGTATATTTAGGCTGTAGTAAATTCTTGTAAGTAAAACGTGTAAAAAGTTATGGAAAAAAAACGTAATTCTGAAGTTTTTACGATTATTTCATGTTTATTATAAATGTTTAGATTTAGCAAAAAAAAAAAAAATCAAAAAAGAAATTTCAGTTTTTAATTTTTCAATGCTTTTTTTTTTTCATTTTCAGTGATATAATTGCTTTAACTGTGATAACATTTCTTCCATTAAGTGTTATCATTATCACTATGATAATTCATATTTTAAAACCTTATGGAACTGGAAAAGCTATAAAATCATTATTTATTGCTGATCATCATTGGGTGCCAGAATTAGGTATCAATCGTCAACAAGCACTATATGAAGAACGGGCTGCTCGTGCGATAATTTAATTATTTTATTATGTTACGGAATTTTTTTTTTTTGGTTCTTCTTGTTGCTGTTAAATTATTGTAAATATAAATAATTGATTTTAAGATTGAAATAATTTTTAAAATTATTTGTAAATGGTATAAAACGAAATAAGTGCTACAAGTTAATAACAATGCATTTAGTTAATTAAGTTTATACTTCAATATCTAAATATAATTAAGTTTATATTTCAATATCTAATATTAATTAAGTTTATACTTCAATATCTAAATATAGTTAAATTTATATTTCAATATCTAATATTAATTAAGTTTATACTTCAATATCTAAATATTAATTCATTGAAAGATTAAAAACGAAATATTAAATTAAAAAATGGAAAAAAAAGAAGTATAAAACTATTTTGCATAAAGTAACAAAAAATTGGATGATAAAAGAGTAATAAATGAAAAAAAATTTTTTCTTAAAAAAAAAACAAAAAAGAAGATCGGAAAAGTACAAAATTAAAAAAAAAATGCTTTCTAATATCTAGAAAACGATCAAGGAAGATTAAAAGATTAAAAAGTTTTTTTTAAAAAAATTTTATTGATTGATTTAATCAATTAATATAAAATTAAAACTATAAAGGTAAATTGAGCCAATTTAATAAACAAAAAAAAAGATTAATGATTTATGATTTTTCAAAAGTTTCAAAAATTTTTTTTTTGAAATTACAGAAAATTCTAATTATTCAAATCGTTAATATTTATTAATATTATTAATATTTAATTAATAGGATTTTTTTAAAAAAAAAGTTTTCAATTTATTATTCTTTTAGTCAAAAAAAGGAAGAGTTCATCAAGATCTGCTACATCGTGCAAAGTGCACATATAATAAAACGAACTGTTCAATTATTTATTAAATTAAAAAAAAAATCAATTATTTTTTAAATTGAAACTATGGTAATTTTATTCATCAATTTCTACTAATTTATTTGCTCAAATTCAATCTAATTAAAATAAACGGTTAAGTAGATGTTGTCATAAAGTCTTCTAAGAGTTGTTTAATTCATTTGTTTGATTTAATATTTATTTTTATTGTAAGCAATAATCGAAGTTAAATGAAAAACTAATAAGTGTTTTGAAAAAAATAAATAAAAATTTTTAAAAGACTTATTTTTATTTTTATATTCGATAAATTAAATTCTCACTTACAAATTATCCTGAAAATGAAATGATTTCCATTAAATGGCTATCAGTTACGACCACTAAAAGACAATACTATTACTATGTTACAGTAAGGAGTTACTGTAATGCCGCACTAGGAAGCCGTTGTAAAGCTACAGTAAGAAGCTGCTGTAGTGTTACATTAAGAAGTTACGGTAATGCTACAGTAAGAAGCACCTAAATGTGAAACATTCTCAAATGATAAAACGATGAGAAAATTCATATGGTTTGAATGAAAAGTTACTTGGCTTATTTCACCAAATGTGCATTACATTTTGCGCTAAATGTCGATAAGGATGAACAATTGTTGATAAGTTTAACATCCACAAGTGATAAGGATTGATAAAATTATGTAAAGACTGATAAATTACTGAATTTATTTGTCATGAATCAATATTTGTTAAAGCTTCTGTAGCTTTAACAAAGATTATGTTACAAATAATCAATTTAATTTTAAGCCAACTGTAAATGGACTGAAACTATGAGCTCCAAATATGCGAAAACCGTGTGAATAACCAAGTGGTCCATATCGCATTGTTTTTATTTGCTTTTGATACCTGGAATATAATTTTTAAATACACCATGTACTAATTAATTTCATCAAGAATTTGCAAATGATAAGCTAATTCAAAATTTCTTCCATCACAAGAAATTACTTTTATCTATCACTAATTAATTTCATCAAGAATTTGTAATTTGCAAATTTTCAAATACATTAAATGAATGCATTTCATTTACATTTGCTATTTACAAAATATTTATGACTTTAAAATTACTTAAAAAAGTATTTTATTAGCATTACTAGAAGAAAAAGCTTTTTTTTGGAACTTTTTTTTGTTATGTAATAATAAATAAACTATATGAAACATTGATATTTTTTTTCTTTTTTGTCTATACGAAATTTTTTCGTTCTTTTTTTGCTATCGTAGAAGTAAATTATTTTCATTACAAATTTTAAAATAAACAAAATAAAAAAAAAAAAAGAAACAAGAATGATTATACATTTCAATATTGGAGCATTCAATACATTTTTCTTCAACAGCTAAATGAATGATCGTACTGAGAAGAGCAAAAAAGAATAATTGATAATCTTTCATAATTCAAATCTTCTTTTTTCCACTGCCAATGATAGAAGAATAGTAATTGAAATATAAATTTTAAATATACAATGAATAGTGGGTGACATTTTTTTTTTTTATTTTCATTAATTCTACTAAGAACTAACCCTGCAAGCAGATGTTTTAATGTATAAATGATTTGAAATAATGACAAAATGAAATATAATTTAGTAATTTGAAAAGAATATTTTTTTTTTCTCTCAGCTATTTGTTAATTTTAATTTCAATTTGTTTGCCTTCATTTAATTTCATCAATTATTTTTGTATGAGTTACATAGATTGTTGAAATATTCATTTCGATACATGTTTTTTTTTAAGCAGTAGAAATATTTAACTATCAACATTCATTAGTAACAATGTTTAGTTACTTAAATTAAAAGTGTAAATAATAAAATGTTAGACTTCAATCTTTCCTGAAATAATAGTAAAAAATGATTACTTTTCATCAAGTTTACCGATATTGGAGCATTTTCGTAAAAATTAAATTTCGAACTGAAATTGCTGAAAGTTGCAGTTCAAAATTTGCTACTTGCAAAAATTATTTTTCGATATAATTTTGCTCTCAAATTATTTCTTAAAGTTTTTTCCTGTTGTTAAAAAAAAAAATAAAATTACGGAAAAAAATTTAAAATGTTTTAATTATGCAATAATATCTCTACAACAATGATATTTTGGTAATTTAACATTTTGAAATTTTTTTTTTATTTTTTTGATGGAAACATACATTGTTTTAAAATATTTGATAAACAATAACATAACAGTAACATTTATGAACATTATTTCGAGCTTTTGTGAAGAAAATTGTTTTAAAGCATTTTGTTGTTAATTTATGCAACAATATTTATTAACAATGGGACTGACCTTTGACCCTTGTTGTTCGAACATTCTGGTTACTGATCATTATTTGCCCATTAGATAACATTATGCTAAATTAGTAACCTCCAAACAAAACAAAATTGAATCATTGTTTAATATTTGTGTTTACCAAAATAATTTTTTTAACTTTTATGATAGCAAACTAGGACAATCTAATTAGTTTTTTTCAGGATATGATTACAAGTAGAATTTGTGATTATCACTTAGAAAACATATGAATTGGAATTTAATCAAATATTGGTTAGAAATCCATTCAACATAATTACGATTCAAATCAATTAAAAAATCAATTAAAAAAAAGTCTATCGAAAAAAAAGACTATCGGAATTCAAAAAAATTGTGGATTTCTTGACAAAAGTTGCAATTCCAAATCGAAATGAATTCCAGAAATCTGCAAAATATTCAAAGTTAACGATTAACGAAAGTAGAAAGATGAAAGATCGCAAAGAATGAGTGATAAACATTAAGCAAATAAAACATAAAATAAATCTGAAAATGCTAAATGAAAATTGTAATTGAATAAAACTGCATATCTTAATTAAGAACAAACAAGGCAAATTAGCGAAAAGTTAAAAATTGTGATAAAAAAACATTCATTAATTAGAAAATAAGCAATCTCAACTCAAAAAAAAAGGTGAGATCGAATAAGTAAGTTACTTGTTTAACCCTAACAAATAGATATAACAATTTTTGTCAGTCTTTTTTTTTACCTGTGGTAGAACAAAGCAAAGCAAAGAAACTCATACAGGTAAGCAAGTTTGAAATGAACATAGCAAATAATTATAATAACAAATAGTAAATTTGTTAAGTACTTCATTGAATAATAAAAACAATTTCACGCCTATCGAACTTACCATATTTTCTGCCGTAAGTAATAACAACACTGATTGTTGCTTAAATAAATAATCAGATATTTACTTTTCAATGGCTAAATTTTAAGCTAATTGGATCATTTAGAAAGCTTGAAAAAAAAAAACGAATAGTTGTTATTTATACGTACGTGTGATACGTGCTGTTTTACGTGCAAAAATATACAACCTTAAGAAAAATACATCAGAAAAAATGTGTACATTTTAACACGCGATAATATATTTAAATAAATCAGACATTTTTCATAGAGTATCAAAAATAGGATAAAAATAAGAGTTTTATTTTTCTGAATAATTATTAAACTGAAAAAGTAATCTAACCTTTTCTTCACTTCAGATTCAGTCTAATTGGAAACGTGTAATTGAGTAATTTACTTACACTGGATTCTGTTTATAACAAAAAATTTAATATAATAACAAAAGCACATTATCATATAATTTTGCTCTACAATTGTCCACATTTCTGTTTGTAAAAAAAAAAAATCTTTTTTTTGTGAAATGAAACTTTGAAATCCTAGCTTTTCAATGATCATCCTAAATCATTATAATCAATATTTATCATTATTGTTACCGTTTGAATAACTTTTTTTGTGAGTATTATACTCAATTTGCAGAAATTTTTAAGAAATAAAAATGAAATATATCAAACTGATATTATTTATAATGAAGTTACTAATATTTTGTTTACTTATATAATTAATTCAATTACATTATAATATTTGTGATTGTCGTCATTTGACTGCTATCTGTATACTAGCAATTCACTGTAATAAAGATTATCATTTTAACTTTTTTTAATCAGTCAATAAAGTGATATTATTGTATGTTGATCGTAATTTGCAGTGAATTTGAATGAAATTCAAAATTGCACAAAAAATGTACCGAAGATTAGAATTGATGGAAAATTCAATTGAGTCATTTATTTTCTTCATTTTTATTTCTATCATAGGCTTAAACAATGTCTGAAACGATTCCATTAATATTGCAAAGATGCTCTTGAAACAGATAATCTATTCAATGACATATCCTGAAGAGGTGACTACATCCAGTTATTAACTTTAAGAAAATTTATCAACTTTAAGAGTGTTAAGAAGTTTAAGATAGTTTTTTTGAAAGATATAGAAAAGTTTGCAACTAACCAGATTTGAAATAGTGGTTTAAATTCAAAAGTTTGGATAATGATAATAATAACTTCGATCTGTAAAGTGGGATAACGACAAAATTTAAAATATCAGTTAAATTGCAAACTGTAATTGCAAATAGTATTTCAATCAAATACCTGACATATCCCAATCTAGAAAATTTTCAGCAACGAATTGCTTTAGCATGATCTGAAATTTGAATATAGAAATACTGATATATTTCAGACAAATTGTAAAACTAAAACTATTTTAGCCAATACATAAAAGCTTAATTTAACATCTCAAAGTGTTTCTGATGATTTGTTGCAATGCAGCATATCATTTCCATTCATTTCGAAACCGAATATAAATAATAAAGATTACCATTAGTTCTTGTAAAATTTTTCCATCAATGTGAAAAAAAAGTTTGTTTAAATGGTTCTTTCCATTAATTCTTTTCGAAATTCAAAATATGAAAAAGGAACAGTTATTTCGCAGCAAAGGTTAATAGTGTGAATTGAAGAAAAGGGAAGCAATTTGTAAGCAATCAGAATTAACTTTAAAAGCAAGTTTAGGGGTTTAAACGGATTAAGTTTTAGATCAATGCATCAATGTCGCACTTTATACTGTATCAATATCGTACTCTATTCGATGCACTTTACAATGTACAATACCGTACTCCGTTCTATTGGTGTTGAACTCTATGCCGTATCAATATCGTACTTTATTCCACTAATAATGTTGATTTTCAACCGAAACATTCTATTAATATCGCACTTTACTACAACAATACCGTACTCTGTTCTGTCAATGTTGAACTTTACAGTAACAATACCGTATTCAGTCCCATCAGTGTTGCACATCATACCGCAACATTCTACTCATGCTGCATCTCACCGTAACAGTACCGTACTCCGTTCCTTTAATGTTGCACATCATGCCGTAACATTCTACTATTGTTCTTACTGTAACAATACTGTACTCCGTCCCATCATTGTTGTACTTTGCTCCATAACATTCTGCTGATGTTGCACATTACTGTAGCAGTACCGTATTCCGTCCCATCAATGTGGCACATCATGCCGTATCAACATCGTACTCCACACCATCGATACTGCATCTTGCTGTACCATTCTACTATTGTTACACTTCAACAATACTGTATCCCATTCCATTAATACTGTGCTTCATACTGTACTAGTATCATACTCCGTTCCATCAATACTTATTTTATTAGCAATATTGTGCTCTATTCCATTTGTTTCTGCTCATAATCATTGTGTTGCATTTACATTATATATGTGAAATCGCTTGCTAAAAATCTTCTATGTTATTGTAACATCAAGCAATTTTATGTCAAATCGATAACTAAATTTTGCTCAATACAAATTATATGAGCAGTATGTGATTTTTGACCTTAATTTTATATGAAAAATATATTAATATTCAATTAACACGTATAAAATGAACATAACATGTTGAAATAGTATAAAAATAATTCAAATGATTCGTTAGTAAAGATATGAATGAAACGGATCGAAGCAGCAATTACTTTTTATTGAATGAAAAATTCCGCCTATAAAAGTGATGATATGATAAGAATAATGGACTAAGACGAGAGACTTAAACTGATATGATCAATGAATATCACAATCAATGAACAATGGACTAAGACGACATGATGATCACAATGAATATCACAATATGATATTTCAGCAAATTTTATTGATATTAATTGATCTCGGATATCCACCATAGCAGGTATCATGAATTTCTTCAATATTTTTCTTTTTTTTTTTTTTTTTTTCAAGTTGTCTTTTTTATTCATCTCAGTTTAAATATCTATCTTTTACTTTATCATCAGAAATTTTTAGTTGCTATCAACTGGTCACCCTTTTTCTCTCACTTCACGGATCATCGAAAGAAGAAGATTTGCATTCGAGAATAAACTTGAAATGCTACGTTTAAAAAAAAAAAAAAGAAAAACAAGGAATTTAAAGTTACCACGCAACATTTATTGAATGGACAAAATTCCGATAACACTTCCATGTCGCCATTTTTGTCAGTTGCACTTTTCTTCCAGCTATTCAGTAAAGAACAAATGATGAGCTTAGAGTAAAAAGCAGTTTTTTCTTTCTTCTTTTTTTTTTTTTTTTTGAAAAATGAAGTAAGAATAACTCTGAAGCCTGAAGCGATAAAAAGATTGAACAATTTATCGAGCATCAAGTTTTTTTATCACTGCTATTTAATTTCTCATCAAGGATACTTTTAGATTATCAAAAATTGAATTCACTGATAAAAAAAAAAAACTGCATTTTCTATTCATATTTCGTTCCCTTCTTTGTTCCATAGTAATTAATTTGGTAAATGAATGTAAAATGTAACATTTAAACGTCTTGTACAAAAAAAAAAAAAGGAGGATATTCATTTAAACCGTTTGTCATAGCAAATGGATGAATTGAACTTCAATATGAAAAATTCCGGCTATACAGGAACAAGACGAGTTCCGATTTATCATTTTTTTTAGAGGTATAAATAGAAGTATAAGGTGAAGATTTTATGTTTGAAGCAATCTAAACTGGAAAATTCTTTGTCATCCATCAAACTTATTCAAATCTATTCTGCTCAAATGATATCAACCTGTTATCTAATCTACTTGTAACAGAAATTTGGTAAAAAAAAAAAATTTCCTAGGATAATATTCATCAAGGATTAAGCGTAAAAAAATTTTTTTACACTTATTTCATTTATATAAAATTTAATATTCATCATATGCGTAACTTTTTAAGATGATTAAGTTATTACTTGCGTAACTTTTTACGATTAAGTTATTACTTAACTATTGTTACCATTGCTTTTATTTTACCAATACTTAGCAAATAATACAATAAATTAATTAGAATTTGGATGCTTATTGAGTAACTTCTCTTAACTCACACTTTTTTTTATACCTTTCGAAATGTTATATAATAGCTTTCACATGAGTGTAAACATAGATTATGCAAAAAAAGATGCAAATATTTTTTTTTTTTACTTTTTAAGGTTTTTTTTTTTGTCAATTATCATTTTTAATTTTTTCAATGATTTTGTTTATTATTAAATTTACAAATGATTGATAGTGTTGTTATTTGACGATATAAATTTACATGTTAATGTGACGTAACCTCAATACTGTTACATGTTAATGTGACGTAACCTCAATAATAAATTGCGCAATGTACACGTCACGCACGTCACGTTGTGATTTAAGGTCAACATTTATTAACAGATAGCCATTTTTTTTTCTATTTTCGTCGTTTTTTAATAACAAATACATTTGAAGCTGGGACAATGATTGCCATAGTAAAAAGTAAATTGCTAATGAACAAATGATAACAATTCTTTCATTTTACTTGATTCTATAAATCTCGAGATACCTGAATTAACTTCCCTTCAATTAAATTACTTAAGTGATACTGATATTTTATCAGTATGAAAATGATACATTCATGTAAGTATAAGTAATATTTATTTATAACAACCGATTTACTCTTTTGATATGTTGATATTTCGTTATTTTTTCAATGTCAAATTTTAAAATTTAAATTATAATTTAAGATCAAATTGGACAAATATAGGCACACCGAAATGATGCGATTTAATTGGATTATATTACTACTATTGATTGTACCAGTAATGATGGCTAAATTAGACATTTCAACGGAAAATGATCATTCTATCAGTACTGATAACACTGATAACAGCTTACTGAGAAGTCGTCGAATTAAACGACAAGAACTACCATGTTTACTATGTCCAAATGTACAATTTCTTATGGATTTTTATTGTGCACATTTTAGATATCTCTTTGCTGGTGCTAGACTAGCAGGTAGAAAGAAACGTTCCGTCGAAAATATTTGCCCATGTTGTAGGTTAGTTCATTTTTATATTTTTTTCTTTTTTCCTAAAATTTACCCAAAAATAATCAGTCAATAAACATTTATCAATAATTTAGTTAAAAAACTAAAAAATAATTACACAAAATAGTTTATCAATTCAATAATCATATTAAATTGACGGTAGATGAAAAGAAATGAAAATTGAAAAAGAAATGATTGTTTCTTTTTTTAATTGTAATTAAAACCAATTAATTACTAATAATTAATATCAATTTTTTTAGGTATTTTCTTCTTTTCTATTCCAAAAAATTTTATCAAAAATAATCAGTCAATAATTTTTCATTAATAATTTAGTTAAAAGTCTTAGAAATAATTACACAAATATTTTGTTATTTCAATATTCACATTAAATTGAGAGTACATTAAAGAAAATAAAAATTGAAAAATAAATGATTCGGTTTTTTCTTTTTTTAATTTGTAATTAAAAACAATTAATTACTAATAATTAATTTAATTTTTTAGATCTTTCAAACAAATTTTTTTGTTTCTTTTGTTTTTCAGTGAACAATCACAAAAAGAAAATATAAGACAAAGAACAAAGATGAAATAATAATAAAATGATTTTAAAAATAAATAAATAAATGATTATTTTAGATGTTGCGGACGTAAACGACGTTCCATTCTACGAAATGATCGCTTACAATTGCAAAATTTAAATTATGAAACATTTAAAAAATGATTATGGAAATAGGAGGAAGATGAAAAGATTTTAAGTTTTATTTTTTTTTTTTTTTTTCATTATCATTTCTTTTTGAAATTTGTTTTTAATCATATTATTTACATATATGTTTGATGCAAAAGGTTTGGTTTAAATTTATTAATGGTATATTTATTAGTGACGAAATTTTAAAAAAAACCGAAAACTTTATATTTTTTAAATTTTTCTAAAAAAAGGATTTTTTTTCATCAAATTTTCAATAGTTTAAATGATTTTGTTGAAAATTATTCAACAATAACTTACTTTAATTGCCAACTTTTATTTATTTTATTCATGAATAATTTGATAAATAACAAATATTCAAATAGAATTACAAAAAAAAAAAAAAAAAGAAAAAATTGAGCATAAAAAGAAAATGATAATTTAAAATAAAAAAAAAATGGAAATATAAATAAAAACAAAAATTTTTCTTCGTTCAAATTTCTTTCTTTTTCTTCATTTTCATTTTTAGTTTTCTTTTTTTTTTTGCCATATATAAATTTTTTTTTTTTTTTTGAGAATATTTTTCTATGAGCAATTTAATTTATCAGTGATTTTTTTTGAATTTAATTGGATATTTTTATGATATATTTGCTTAAATCTTTTTAGTTTTTGATGCATTTGATATTACGATAAATATATTCTGCCATAGATAATTTAAAACTTTCCATTTTTTTTTTAAATTTAAATTTGAAAGGAAAAAAACCATACCTGTTGTTAAAACATATCTTTTTTTCTTCCTTGTTTATTTATTTATTATTTATTTTTTTTTTTTTTTTTTTTGGTGACAAATAAAAACTAACGAATAGCTTGTAATTGACAAATGATTCGTAATGTTTTATGCAAAATTTTTTTTTCCCTCATTTTTTTTTTTTTTGTTTTTGGTGACAAATAAACAATAAATTATTTATAATCAGTAGAGCAAATAATCAATTCAATGATATATATGATATTGGGCAAAAGAAAAAAGGGAAAAGCAAATAAATATAATTCTAATAAATGAATAAAAATTATATTCCAGTGAAAACAATTATGTTTTGATAAGAAATATCACAGTTAAATTAACTATACAAAGCTAAATGTTATATTATAACAAAAAAAAATTATAGTAAAGGAAAAGTTAAGTAAAAATTTAATTCAGTTCAAATCAAACTAATTACCTACCTAGTAGTTTACTTACAATTAAAATTAACCGTTCGTAAATTAATAAAATCTTGTTAATAGTATTTGCTTATTTCTTATGTTTCTTTCGTTTTCTTTTTTAAATTATCATTGGGAAATAAATTTGTGTATCTAATGATAAATCAACGAATCAGAAGTAGTTATCGCTTACTCAAAAATAAAAATATATATTTCTGATTTGTTGAATTATCAAAATAATACCTGAAATAATCTAAATTACATGTAAGATAGCCGAGCCACAAAACTTTTTTTGCATTTTTTTTTTCTTAAAATTTTTTAATATTTAACAAACAATCACACATTTAATTATCCATTACTCAATCTTTGTTGCATTTTTTAATGTTTTTTAATTTTATCACATTTTTAATATATATTTTATATATTGGAGAAAAAAAAATTTCCTACAAAATAATTGAGGAATATTATTATTGATGAAATAATGAGAAAGTAATCGGTATTTAAAGTATTTTAAATTTTAAAGTAGCATTTTAAAGTATTATAAAGTTTTTAAAGTACCGCACCTGGAGCAACTCGTTTTTTTTTTTTTTGTACAATAAAATTACAACTTAGAAAAAAAAAAGTACACCGACTAAAAACAATGGTTTCATTCATTTTAAATTTCTAATTTATAGAAATTTAAATAATTATTTAAATAATAATTTAAATAATTAAACAATCTAACTTAAATTTATAATATTTTACAATTAAGCTTCTTCATATTGCTATTTGCAAAAGGTATTGTATTATTTCCAGAATTTTGCAACTCTAAAAAATATCTACTAATACAGATAAAGTTAAGTATGACTCTATTCGGCAAGAAATAATGTCCCAATAATTCGGTTACTTTGTGATATAAATGTATTTCACGGATACATCAAAGAAAAAAACACGAAACGAATATCAGTTTTTCCGCTCATCAATCACTACTCAGGTTAGCATATGTGATTATCTGTTTGAATCCGTAAATCACATTTTGCAAACTTTCATAATTCAAAAGTGAAATTCAATCTAAGTAATTTGAAAAATTTTTTTTTTCAAGTTCGTAGCAAAAATGGAAGATATTAAATCCTTTTTTTTTCTCTCTCTCTCTCTCTCTAAGCATTAAACTAAGATACCCAAAATTTCCAGGTTTAAAAAAAAAAAACAAATGAACTAGAAATTTAGTAAAAATAGATGAAATACATAAGTGTCATCCGGAATACATAAAAATGTTAAATCATTCAAGAAAAAAAAAAAAAAAAAAACCTAATCTCTTTCTCATAAATCACTTTTCGTCTTCACATTAATCAAAAAAATTTTTAAAATGCTTCGAATAATCACCACAATCAATGCCAATTTCTCGTCTGAAACTATGAAAATTGCAGTGAAACAAAATGAGAAACAGGAAACAATACAAAATATCCTTATTCAATCCGGAAAACAAAACAACATATTGTGATGTGTCCCCGACACAACTGAAAAGCATGTTTTAACATGATCATAATATAATGCACCTTTTATTACAAAACCAGAATTTATTAACAAATTACATCTTTCCGCCTCACGGAAAGTTTATATTTGCTTCACAGTGAAACTCTTTTATGCTAACCGGAAACAGATAGATAGTTGAAATAAAAATTTCATTGAGTGAAGTCATGAAATAAATATCAGATAATATTGACAAGACGATAAGAGGTTGTAAAAAAAAAAAAATTGAGATTGTAGAAAAATAAGGATTCGATGAGAAATAGATTACAGCAATAAGACAAAATACGATTGGAATGCTTTCCGGAAATGTTCTAACGGAATTGAGCACAGTCTAACTCCTTGTACGGTATAAGTTGATATACAATATTAAACAATAGATAGTACTGATATACTCATATATTTATAAAAAAGCATTGTTATAATCCTAATGAAATAGCAGTTATGTGAACAGAGCTGCTTTCAATCACTCATTATCAATTTAGTTATTAGACAACAAACACACATAAATTCACCTATAATATTTAGATGATTCATTCGTTCCAAAAATATTTTAAGTAAAGTAGTTTTAGATGAAATTTCTATATCTTATATTTCTTTTCTAAAAATACAAAAATACATTATTTCGACAGATAAAAATATTTCGATTTTTTTCGAAAAATAATGAATTTTCGAATCTTTTAATCACATATTCAATGATTTATAACCAATAAAACTTTTTAAATTATTCACTCAAAAAAAAAAAAAAAAAAAGCACTGAGATTATTTACAAGACAATAAACTGAAAAATCATTAAACATTTACCCGAGCATCTTATAAAATGTCATATTCCATACCAGCGTATTTCTTACGAGACGATGAAATATCATCTTTATATAAAAGTGGATTTATTTTCGCCTGACTACTGATTAACGATGCACCTGATGGCCAAACATCAGTAACCAACTAGAAAAATAAGCCAGAATATCTTTGCTGCACTATTAATATCAGCAATATCAAGTGCTAGATCAATAATATAGATTTAAATCTTGCTGTTTTTTGCTGTTATTAATCGTTTCAAGTTTATTAAAGAGAAGAAAGCTCATGAAAAATAAACCTTATCCAAGCATTCAGAATAATTCCTGGTAAGCATCCATTTATCATGAATCCTACTACCAATTAACACCGGAGACTGTCCAGTTAATTCTGCCACCATCATATTCATTAATAAAGTAAAGCAATGTGATACTTTTAATGCTATTCCTTTGGCAGGTGTTGGCATCCACTGCTCAAAATGCAACAGGTATTCCCTTAAAAAATATTTATATATTATTTAATAAAGTACATTGTAATAACCATTTAGCTTAGCTGTTATAAATTACAAAACTATTTCATATACAACCTACCTCTTTATTAAAGCAAGATGAAATAGAATCAACGAGTATTCACTGCTTGGCTTAAGTTCAACTGTTGGCATTCCTCCTTCCACCTCAAGAAAACAGCATTCAGCTGACAACAAAAAATTATTGCAGTTGATAAATTCTCATATCAAAACTAAGGATGCAGTCGACTAAACCAATTTTTAATCCTTTGTCTACCTTTTAATGACCTTGAGTTTATTAAAAATATATATTAAAGCTATCTCTAAATAATAACAAAAAAAAAAATAACAAGTTTTCAAAATTTCCATTTAAAATTTTCTGGAAAAAAACCTTCGAATTAGCAGCATAAAAACCATAAAGACGATAAGGTTCAGTACTTGCTGCATCTACTAAAAAGCGAATATCATCAACTGTAATAGGCACACGTTCATCCAGAAATAAAATAAATGCACCAATAAATTCAGCTTGTAATGCTTGAGCTTGACTTAAAATATCAACGTGCACCTAAAACTAGTAACATATAAATAAGCTTAAGTTATATAAAAATTCCTTCTGTAAAATTTATGCCAACATATAATGCAATTTATAGCTAAAAATATATCAGAATAAGTTTACGTCGAAGTCGCTCGGTTGTACAAATATGTTTGCGTCACAACTGTCAAAATTAGTTTTCATTTGACGATTTTTGGGCCAAAGTATAATAATCTAAAAAAGTTAGTAATAAATTGTATATAACATAAACTGCTAAATGTGTCAAGCATAATCTATGTCCATAGTCTTTATATGTGTGTCTTCAGCAGTATTCTTGATATTTTTCCCATTTATTTTAGCAGTATTTATAAAAGTTCACAACTTGCAAAAAATCTACAACTGTCTTATCTGAATAGTTGCCTATAATAGCCATCTATTGGGCCTATTGTTCTAAGATCTAATTATTAAAAAAAACCATAAATGAAACAATGTTTGCTTAAAATT